TGGCCCAACATCAGGCAAGGGTCCTGATGTTGGGCCAAAAGCAAGAGCTTTGACTGTAGAGTAAAAAGTATTTACTGCTGTGGTCTGTAAAAGAATGCAGACTGGATATTTGCCCTGCAAATGACACCAAAGAAGAGAAAACACCAATTTTTTTTCCCCCTACTGTCTCTCTTCTGTCTGCTGACTCCCTCAGCAGCATGGTTTCTCCACCCATTCCCAGTGCTGCCAAACAGCTCCCTCAGATCAGCACATAGTGATATTGGTGGTGTTCGGGTAATCTGTGTCACAGGAGCATGTGGTGACTCATTTTTCCAGGCCCATGGGAGTCACTAATTTGAACTGTTACCAGCTTCTTTGGCAACACCCATGGAATGATATGGGAATGTGAAGCTAGGATATGACCCACTCCATAAAGGAAGGACACAGAGCTATCTCTGCAATTGACTGATTCGCTTGAGCTTCTGCAATGAAGTTCCTGGATTCTCTGCACATCATTTGTTCCCTCAGTGTTTCTCACTGTTGCTAAATTGATAATCCTCAGTGATGTGGTGGAGCCACCAATCCTGGTGACAGTGGAATTCTTCCCCTTTTTCATCATGTTTGGTAGTACTAAAATATTCTTAATTGATAGTGGCTTGTCCAGTTACTCAGAAAGAGCTACCATGAGGTCCACCATTAAAGCTATCACTAGATCAGTTTGCGTGGCCTTTACTAGCAGGAGTTTGCATGAGCCCAGTGGTACAAAACACCAGGAAAGAAGCTGAGCTCTGTAAGTGTGTTTGGATTGTCCTCCCTAGCTATATTCTTGGGGCTGGTATTCAGTGATTGTTGCCTTACACACATAGCCAGAGCCTCCATGACAGCCTCCTCCCCCACCTTGCCATTTTCACACAGCTTTTGTCAGTGGGCTACCCATGCTGAGCCCGCCTGGCATCGCCTCACACAAATGTCAACGTTGGTGGACTGACACCTCCAGATGGGAGCAATCCAAGGCAGACTGTACCAGCTCCCAGGGAGAAGCTCCTAGAAGGGTCTTGACATGTGCAGAGCCTCCCAGATGCCATTTTTGTCACTTTCAGGTGCTGTTTCAACTTGGACTTGGGAAAATGGGCTTTGAAGGCATCTGAGGGAGTGTTCTTCCAAGACAAGTAGACACAGCCGGTTAGTCACACCAAGATGCTGGTGAGTGTTTGATGCACAGAGAAGGTCTCTCCCTCTGGCCAATGTACACCTATTTCTGGTAAGGACTGGATCTCTAAGAGTGGGTACATCCCAGCACACCCACACAGCTGGACCAAACTGATAGCCCAAGATTTTCCAGAGCGCAACTTGCAACTCAACAGCCGAAGTCTTCAGAAAATCCTTCCAGGTAGTGGGCAGAAAGGAAGCGTGGCAGTACAGCCTTGTCCACCGTGCACTTCTCCCTCCCTCGCTCCCTCCCTCCCTTTCAGTCCTGTCCTTTCTCAATACCCAGGAAAGATTAACTCCTCTTCGCACACCAGAGAAAGTTATTATCATTAATGAAGAATTAAAAGAGAGTGATTAATAAAGGGCCCTTATCTGGCCATGAGGAGGAGGCTGGACAATGGAAGGAAGATGGAGAAAATGAAAAACAATAAATATGAAGCGTAAAAGGAGGCGAGCACTGCTCCCACTTGTTAGATCGCAGCTGCATCTCCTGAGGGGGGAAGGCTCCAAATTGCTAATTACTGCCTCTGAAAAGACCTCGCTCTGATATGTTTTCTGCTGAAAGGTTCCCATTAATGAAGCAGCGATGATGCCGTTTCCCTTTGACTTGCCTTCAATTCCCTCCCTGAGCTTCCTCCCAAGCCGGGAACAATGAGGCCCTGGGAGCTGGCGGCTCCCACAGGCCTCTCGGAGACTAGGCCGGGGGCAGCCGAGTGAGGGGAGCCGAGCCGGCTGTGAAATATGGAGGGGGGAGATAAGGCAAAGACAGAGGAAAGAGGCTCACTCCCAGGAGCCCAGGGAAAATTTGCAGTTATTATGAAGGAGATGAGACAGATTAAAAGCCCTTGTGTTCTGCGCTGCCCTTTTATTTAGTGGCTTCATCTCTGAGATGAAAGAAGTTGGAAATGACTTTCTCCGCATTTTGCTGCAAGAAGCTTCACGGCACATTTTTTGACTTTATTCCTCCCTTTGTCTCTTGTCCCCTTTCTGTCTCTCTTTTTCCTTTTAACCCCTGGAAGGTTTTGCTGGGAAATGTCATGGGACTAGGCAGAGCATTTGCTGGGGTAGAGCAATGACCCTGCTGCTCTCCCCATCCTACTGGGCTGTACGTCTCCCGCTGCCCACCGAGGAGGGAGCTGGGCCAAGGCACGGCCATGACAAGCAGAGAGCAGCCAGCCAAGCTTCCTGTCCTGCTTGCCTCAGAAATGTCCCTCACCACTAACACACCCTCTCCTGCCTCCAGGCCCAGCAGCAGCTCAGCACAGGTGACCGCAGCCTCTGGGCAGGAAAAAACCTCATCCTTACAAAGCCAAGTGATGGATAAGAGTACATGTGGGGTAAGAGTGCTGAACATTTTGTATCCCTGGAGCATTTAATGAGCAAAATTAGTGCTGAGAAGTTGGGACAGTTCCCATTGAGGCAACCTACAAAGTGCACAGAGAGTAAACAATTTGCCAGGGATGAGGGATGAAGTTGAATGCAGACAAGGATTCAAAATTAACTTTTGCTGACCCATGTCAGGGGTCAGGACCTTGTAAGACTGGACAGAAATACCATAAACTGCTCAAAACCAGATTATCCCAACTGCCTCATTATATTTCTTGAACTCCTATTCAAATTTTTCTAATTTTTTCCCAGATACATCAGTGCTCCTTTGTGGTACCCTTTTAGTTCTTGGGACCCTTGCAATTGCAAGAGCACTTTCATTCTGTCTCTTGCTTTTGCCCTATCTCTCTCACAGAAAACTGACCCTGTGTACCAGTATGTTGTCTTTACTCAGGCCAAATGCTGACAACATCTGCAGAAATTTGAGTGTTGAATGTGGAAAAAAATAATGGATGGGTGAAGTAAAATTTATACCAGTTGCAAAACATTTTGTTGACCTACAGAAACAGCAGAGAACTAGTTGGGAAATGAGGGGAAAATAAAAGAAATTAGAGTGGGCATCTGCTGTCATCTCCCCAGGACATCTGAATACAGGATTTCTTGTACACAATTGTTTGTCTGGTTTGTTATCCTGCCTGGAACGGCAGCCAGTATCGAGTGCTTGAAATGAAGGGGTAAGAAGCTCTGAAGTGATGTTTACAGAATAACCTTCCCATCAGGGGAGTTTCTCTATAACCCAGACATTTTGTAGCTGTTTTATATCCTGAAGCATGAAAAAGGATTGCAGCGGTGAAACAGGATTAGATTTTAGGAGGGATTTTCTCTCAGATCTGAGAGTAAAAAGAAAACCCCTGTATTGAAAATAGGAAACTGGCAGGGAAAACAAAATGCTGCTAGCAAATAAGGTGAGTTACTGCCCCAGAAAGGGTTAAAAAAACAAAAGGACAGAATTTTACAGGCAAATTGGTACACATAAAGTAACTTTAATCAAGTCAGCTATTGGAAATGGGATTTTAAAAATCTACCTAATGACTGCTTTTCTTCTTTTAATATTTATTTTCTAAGGAAATAATAGCGAACTACAAGGAAATGAAAATGTTAACATGACAGCTCAGACTGCCATCAAGGACTGGTTAGATAAACAGCATGAAGAAAGTTCAGCAAAGCTAAATGAAGCTTGTCCTATTGGGGTGTAGGAATCAATGGCAAACTCAAGGATTCAGTTATTTTTGAAGTATCTTGACAAACTAGGGAGGGTGCCAGAGGACTGAGGAAGAGCAAACACAGCGCCGGTCTTTTGTGGTGGGAGCAGGGAGGCAGCAGTGGTCTTGGCAAATATCACCCTTTCGGAGTAACTTCTGTTCCTGGCAACGTGATGGAACAGAAATTGGGGGAAAAATTAAGAATACAAAGGATAAGAGATCTGTGAGCAATAGGCAGTAGTATATATTTCCAGAGAATAAATCACATCTAAATAAATCTGATTACTTTCTTTTGATTTAATTTACAAAATTAGTGAAGAGAATAATTCAAACACAATATAGATATGGACTCTGGCAAAACTTTCGATATGCTGCACTGTAAAACATTACATGAAAAATGGTTTGAATGTGAGTGTAGCTACTTCGGTCAAGAAAACTCCAAACACCCTTCTGAAAAAAACCCAAAAAACCCACCAAACAGAAAACCAAACCAAACCCAAACAAAAAACCCACTCCCAACCCCCACCCAAAACCAAACAAAAACCAAATGAACAAAATCCACAAACAAACAAACAACAAACCCCAAAAAACACCCAAACAAAAAAACTCGGAAAAAAAAATCCCTGAAAACAAAACAAAGCAAAACGACGACCAAAACCAAAACAAAACAACAAAAAAAACCCAAAAAACCAAACTAACAAACAAAAAAACAAACCAAAAAACCCAAAAAAACCCCACTCAAAACCCGCTGAAGAAGCATTATGAAAGCTGATAAATAAACGGACTGTTATGCAAAACTAGGTGGTGGCAGGGTCACACCTGGCTTTATTCTGATGGCCGCTGGTGATGTGTAAGCTGGCATGATAGGAAAAGAGATGCAAGCCTTAAGGAGAGGGGAACAGCACTGTGAAGTTTAATTTAGGATGCACACAACTAGCGTGGCAGCAACGAAATGGAGCAGTTTGGGTACCAAGTTTATTTGTTGTCCATTAAAAATGAAATACGACAACCAAGCAGCTAAAGGTTACGTGCAGGCAAGGGCTGCCCCGGCGGCAGGCGAGGGCTCCGCCATGGCTCCACGGGCGGCACCAGCCGCGGCGCACACACGCACGGAGGAGCGGGAGCACGGCGGCGGCTCGGGGGCGGGCGGAGGAAGTGGCCCGGGGAGGCCGGAAGCGGCGCTGACGCGGGGCTGGCGAGCGGGGCGCTGGCCGGTGAGCGGGGTCGCGGGGAGGCCCGGCAGGAGACTGCGCGTCCCGGGCGGGGAGGGCAGTTTTCCCGGCCTTTCCTGGTGAAGCTGGGGGGTGTCGGGCAGAAGCAACGGCGTCTCCCTAGAGGAGGGAGTCCGTGCGGCCGTGTCGCTGAGGTCTAAGGGAGGCGGCCTGCGGCAGTGGGTCGTTCACCGGGCTGGAGATGCGGGTGTTTCTGAGCCGGTGGGGAGAGAAATCCGACGCCTGCAAGGCACGGGTAGGGAGAGGGGTGTTGTGAGATGAGGGATTTGGCCAGGACTTTGGGATTGGCGCACTGACAGCCCTGAGGTGTAGGGGTGGTTTTCGGCAGTAGGAGTTGGGGCTTGGTCTCCTGCACCCTGTTCTAAGGAGCCCAGGGTCCCACGCGCCTTGCTTTACAGCTGAAGTGATGCTGGCTTGCAAACTACCTGTTTTACCATCTGTTTTACTCCCAGCTTTGCTGCTTGTCTACTTTTTGGAGGACTCAATCTGTTTGTCAAGCAGGCTGATCCTTCTCTGTTGCTTTACTGATGCCGGGTAGCAAAAACTAGTTGCCGGCTTCCATACCCGTTGGGATGTGTAATTGAGCATGCTGCTTCAACACAAAAGATGAACCTTAAGGCCTTTTCAGACACAGAGCACTCAACCCAATTCCTGCAGTAGAGAGAGATGTGTGCCACCATGGCTAGAAGAGGGATTTAACCCTTGCAGAAAGAAGAAGTGTTAACCTAGGAAGTAGCACTAGTCCTGCATTGGCTCCTCCCAGGTAACTTCAGAGTAAGTGTCTAACTCCTTTAATGTTACAAAGGGTATAGCATACTACAGTCCAGAGATGTGTTGATAGCAGTATTTATGTCTGGTGCTAATTATTGTCATTTTTAGTAGGCATTGCCAATGGATGAGCTGGTGCATGACTTGGCCTCAGCTTTAGAGCAGACTTCAGAGCAAAACAAACTGGATGAGCTATGGGAAGAGATGGCGCTAAGCCCACGGCAGCAGAGGCGTCAGCTTCGCAAGAGACGGGGTCGTAAACGACGCTCAGACTTCACCCACCAGGCAGAACATGCCTGCTGCTACAGCGAGGCCTCAGAGTCGAGCTTGGACGAAGCTGTCAAGGATTGCCGTGAGGTGCTGACAGCTAACTTCAGTGACTCTGATGACATGGCAGTGGTCAAACGGCATCCAGCTCTTAGTGCCACCCTGAGGAGCAAGCAACACTTGTGGCATGAGTCAGACTCCTTTACAGAGAACGCACCCTGCCGACCTCTCAGGCGCCGACGGAAAGTCAAACGTGTGACATCGGAGGTGGCTGCCAGTCTCCAGCAAAAGCTCAGGGTGTCAGAGTGGAACTGTGAGAGGGGCTGCAGGTTCAAGTCAGCCAAGAAACAGCGTCTTTCACGCTGGAAAGAGAATGCCCCTTGGACATCATCCAGTCATGGCCTTTGTGAGTCAGGAGAGAACAGGCCCTTCCTCAGCAAGGGGGCCAGGAAGGAGCGGATGGAGTGTGAAGCCGATGATCAGAAACAGGGTTCAGATGAAAACATGTCGGAATGGTGAGATCTCAGTTTCTTCCCTGTGCTAGTCACATGGCTCCCTTGCTTGCAGCTGCTTGTAAATGCTGCGCCTTGCTTTTTGAAGTTCTTAAAATTATTCAGTGCTGCTCTTTTTGTGAAGATGAGAAATCTCTCAGCTGCTTGTAAAATGTAGATTTTTTCAAAGTCTTTCCTGTCAGTATTGTATGATGACCCAGGAAAGTTGGTAAGCTGGTAGGTTTCTGGCTCCTGTTGAACAAAGAGTCCTCTGCAATGTCAGTGGCCTTGCAGCTACAACGTGGCATGCTTATGGCCTGTGGTTCAGGGAGTAAACCCCAACTGGCACTTGTTTTGAGTGATTGATACGAGCTGATCACAGTTTCTTATTTTCAGCATTTGCTATAAGTAGTAGTAGATACCAGATCAGATCTCCCATCATTACTGCTGGCCTTCTGTGCAGGTACTGTGTGAACCTCAGTCTAACCTTGCTTGCACTTCTACATTTCTGCTCTTGATCTGATCATCAAAGCCTAGCTATGGGGATAATGTGGTGAGATGATGAAGAAGTTGAGGGGAACTTATGTTACTTACAGAATAAGCCTGTGCAAACAGTGGAGTCTCATGTCTTGGTGTCCAGTTTTGGAGAACTTTGTTGAATTTGTGGCAGAATCACATACAAGGGATTCAAATGTGACATGTAAATGTCATGGTCTAAATTTGTGTTGCCCTTGGGAACTTTCTTCCCCAACTCTGACTTTTATTCTCTCTGTCTAAGGTTTGGGATCATAAAACTGCTTCTGTCAGAAGAGATTTTTCAGGTTAGAAAAGAGGCAATGGCTGAGAATTCATTGGAGGAAATTTCTTAATGAATGGCATGCAAAAAGCAAATGTGGTCGCTGATTTTCTAATTATCATTGTGTAAAAACAGCAGACATTGAGGAGACATTTAAAACAAACAAAACGTATTATTTTTCATGAAACATGAGGTTGGGAACTCTACTGCGGGACATTTTAGAGGTCAAAATTTAAATACATTCAAAAGGAAGATGTGGAGTATAGGCATATCAGGGGCTGTTAAACATTACAGCCCAGATGAAAGATCCCACTCAGGAAGCCCTTAAACTGCTGACTTCTAAAAGCTAGAGGAGCATACAGGGAAGTCTGTGTTTGTCATGTTCTCATGTTCTTTTCTCAAGCACTGTAGTAGTCACTGTCAGAGGAGAGTGGATTTGGAAAGTCTAACTCTTTGATACACTATGATTGTTCATATGCTGAGGTTCAGTTAAGTGTTGTGACAGTCTAGCTCCTGTAGTTTGTCAGACAGGACACTTCATTATTGCAGCTTTGTGGATAATAGAATTGCAAACTTCTCAGTGGTGTTTTCTGGGACCCTGTGAAAAGCTTAGGTTATAGTAAGTTCTCACTGTGGTCCAGGGAACCACTATTGCATTTTTACTGGGTCAGCTGTGGTTTGTAGTATGTAACTCTTACAGTGTGGTCACTTTTTTATTTTAAGAGTGGCTGTTGTTGCTGAAAAGTGGGTGTGAAGTGGGACTTTACAATGAACTTGTGGATTGAAACCTTTTGTTGCTAGTTGTTAAAGTAGTTTTATCTTCTCAGATCTGTTTGCTAGTAGTCCAGGAAAAGAAGTGTGCTAAGTAGCTCCTGAATAGTGCATGTCAGTATTGATGGACTGAGAGATACCCTTACTAGATCTGGCAGTGATGGACAGTGTTCCTTGAGCTGGTTTTTTTAACAGCAGTCAGAGTCTGTTCCATCATGTCAGACTTGAACTTAAACCAGCAGGCTTTCATCCAGCCTTTATTTGTGCCAGCTTTGGAAAGAGTAAATAAAGAGCTATATCCAGACTGTTACTTGAGGACCATGCTGGGAGATGGCTTTGTTCTGTCTCAGTTGTCCCTTGCTCTCAGACTAATTATTGTGCAAGTGTATGCATCAAATGACACTTACCATCTGCTGCCAAATCCTTGGGATTCTCTCTGGAAAGCTAGTGCGTGGAATATTTGACCTCCCCAACACCACATGTGTGATCTGTGCTGTGACTCACTAGGGAGGGCCACAGTTGGAGGGAGTAATACATACAGCCCTCTTCACTGCAGAGTATCCCTCACAGCAGTGAAGGATCATGCTTTGGTCTCTGCTGCTCTAAATATAGCCCTTTGCTGCTAGCAGCACAGTGCAACTGGCTGTGTTTGCCTCACTCCCACTGTGCTCTAGCTGTTTTTTCTGGTGCAGTAAGAGAAGTACTTTTCACAGATGTATGACAAGGGCATATCCTGAGGAAAGGAGAAGAAAATTGGATGCCTGGGAGAGCAAATGGTGTGGTTGTCATCACAAGCTGATGGGACGAAAGGTGACTGATGCTACTTGTGAGACTTGTAAGCAATCTGTGGTGATCTGGTGATTTACAAAACCTTCATACTGAACTGGTTCCACTACTGTTCCCTCCTCTAACAGTAGGGAATGTGACAAAACAAAATGGGTTTTCAAACAAACTAAGTTCTGTATTCAGAATGGATTTTTTTTAACCTTCTTTTTCCTCCCCTACGCTGACAGTTTCTTTGGTTTGTTATGCAGGAATGAATCTGTAAACGCTGAAATATCCTGTATTTTCTCTGCTTTCTAGAAGGCTCCTTATCCCAAGTCAGGATTATTCAGTTGATAAACTCCCATTCACTGAGAAAGTCTTGGATATGGGTTCTTAACAAGGAAATGTTTTTTTTCCTAGTTTGCTTGTGGGACTACTATGCCCAGTCCTTTCCTGGAAGAAGATGAGCTGCAGTATTGTGATTCAAGTGTGCATATAATGAAATCTTTGAAATTGGCAAATTGGCAAAAGGTGAACATAAATTGAGAGAAGGATGGATGTGCAGGAACACAATAAGGGAATGATGGTGTTTCTGAATCCACGACCCAATGCCTGATCTATAAATAACTGTGGAAACAACAAAGGAAACAAGTTTTAGTTTAAGCAGTCATTTGTATATTTGTGCAAAGTTGACAATTAGCTGCTAAGACTGTTAGAAGTAATATGCCTTTCTGTCCCTAAATGTTTTGAGATTCCCTGCAGCCATAATAAAACAAAGGCAAATTATATATTGAGTGCTGAAGTTTTTTCTCTTGTTGATCTAAACTGAGTACTTGCAGAATGGTCTGGGTTTGGTTTGAGGACAGAACAAACCATAGTACAAGAGCTGTCTAAAAATCACTTTGAGTAGTGTGTTTATTTGTGAAAAATATGCAGTTGGTCTCATCTGTTTTCAAGTACCAAAACTCTTACTGTGATTTTTTCAAACCTGGGATTCAACTGACCCGCCAACGTTGTGAGATTTCACTGGCTTAATGCTGATGTGTTTGTTGTGGTTTAACCTGGATAGGCAGCTTAGCTCCATAAAGCCACTCCCCTGAAGGGATGTGGGAGAAAAATGGAAGAGTAAAAGTGGAAAAACTCTCAGCTTTAGGTAAAGTTGATTTAGTAGGTAAAACAAAAGCTATAGTGTGCAAGCAAAGCAAAATAAGGAATTCACTACTTCCTGTGAGCAGGCAGGTGTTCAGCCATCTCCAGGAATGCAGAACTCCATCATTTTTAACATTATTTGGGAAGACAAACACCACAACTCCAAATGTCCCTGGCTTCATTCTTCTTTTCCCCAGCTTTTATTGCTAAGCATGACATTATATGATGTGGGATATCACTGTGGTCAGCCAGGGTCACTTGTCCAGCCTGTGTACCCTCCCATCTTCTTGTGCACCTCCAGCCTGCTCACTGGCAGGGCAGTGTGAGAAAGCCTTGGCACTGTAAGCAGTGATCAGCAATAACTAAAACATCCCTGTGTTATCAACACTGATCACAAATCCAAAACATAGAACCCAAGTGCTACTATGAGAAGAATTTAACTCTGTGCCAGCCAAACCCAGTACAATGTTCAGGGCTAAGAATGTGACCATCGCTCATCTTGAATATGCAGTTAAGTTGCTTTACCCTTTGGAAGGGAGCTGCTTTGATGACTGTCTGCAGTTGCATTCGTGAGTCTGGCTAAGCTGATGAATTGGAGGCCAGTCTCTCCATAAAAAAAAAATAAAAATTCCTCTCTCTTGGAAGGCAAGTGACAAAGACAGAGTGTTCCGCTTCCCCTCCTTCTCCAGCCCAGCCTGACCTTCTGCAGCCCCTCGGTGCCTCTTGTTTTCTTATTTTTATAGAAAATCAATATCCCTCCTGACACAAACAATAGCTCAGGCAAAAGAATAAATGGGGGAAACCTGAGATCTCTGTCCATCACCTCTCAGTTTAACTCCCCCAAACTATTTAATTATAAGCATGCTTTGCTTCAGGTGTTTGCGACAGTGAAATTGCTAAATGAGGACCATTTTAACCAAAGATTGGGTGATCAATAACACTCTATAGCAGTAGCTTGTCGGATCAATAGCATTCATTATTTCATGGTTAAGGTAAGTAGCCTCCTTTGCAAGTGGAGGTCATTAATCAGTGCTTACTGGACCTGCAGAAAGGCCTGCACAGGAGTCTAGTTTGTGTTCAGCCCTGCAGTGTAGAAGGGGTAGTGAGGAGGGTGAAATCCCTTCAGGAAGTTTCTTCCTGTAAAGCACTGTCAGTGATGCTTATCTGTAAGGAACTAAAGAGCTTTCAGTGCAACAGGATGCTTATAAAGTACTGTTAATATGACCTGGATGCTTGTCAATGCTTTTTCCTTTCTCAGGCACCTTTCCTCTGAGGATGTTAAAAACCTTATGAAGCAGTCACTCTGCAGTCACTCTGCAGGTCCTCACATCTGCAGCTTGTGAGGATTGTTTATCCAAGCTATCAAAAGGGAAAGCAGGCACACTAAGAGACTGGCCCAGGGTCATACAGTCAGTTGGTAGGAGAGCTTGGGATGAAACAATTAATTCGTGGTCCTCAGTCCTTGGCCTTAATTACTGTGGTATGTATGTGGGAGGATGAATGCACGGTCAGGCTTTGTAATGGATTAATTTGGAATTTGATATTAACTTGCATGCTGTAAGGTGAGGATGCTTTATAGATCCTTCATTCTTTAGGTATAAATGGCCATTGTACAATGATGAAGATGCAGATGATGAGTTGACTTGGCTGTACTTTAGAGTGTATTTTCTAAGAACAACAATATGCTCACAAAATAGAGTTTTATTCTGTGCGTGACGTTCTTTGGAGTGATGTATTTTGTGGTCCTTCATTATTCAGCCTTGTAATTCAGGGGTTTCCAGTATGTTCTCTGGTATGATCCAGTTTCCCTGGAAGAGAGGCCTCCAGAGATACTTTCAAACAGCATTCCCTGATTGGAGAGTGATTCTAGTGCTGACTTACACCTGGTGTTCGCATCTAAGGTCTTAGTGCTCAGGGAGTAGGCAGTAAGTACTTTCTGCTTGTTCTAGTATCTCTCAGCTAAATCAGAGGAAGTACTGCCTGAAGTGTCCAAGGAATGAGTTCAAGTCAGCATTTAAGCTTTCAGATGCTTGGGACTGACATGAGCAGGTACTTCTGCTACAAATATTTGTCTAGCTTTGCAAGTCAATTAATGGCATTCTACACATTAATTTATAGCTCTATTCTTTTGTTCAATAATTAAATCTTCTCTAACTGCTTCAGCATATGCAAAGCATGCTATGACAAGGTTGCATGCAGAAGCAGAAAGTCATGCTGTGCTAAGGTATTTAGCTGGAGACTTGTGTCACAGCTGCTCTTTACTCCACATAAAATAAAAGTTGGGGGGGAGGCTGTTTGTGTGACAGTGTAACGTTTTTGAGGAAAAGGAATCTGAAATAGAAAACTTAAGAGGGTTTTCAGTTAAGTGACCCAAGGACAGTGTTTCTAACTGTGCTTAATTTCCTGGTGAGTATTTCAGATGATGCCATAGTTAGGTTATTAATTCTAATACCTGAGGCAAATGCCATTTTATTAATTACTTCTTGATAATTTAGAACAAAACTAGATACAGGATTCTACTCTCTTTCAAGTGATGCAGCATTGGTAAATTTTAATGGAAAGCAGTTACGTTCTGTTCTAGAGCCAGTCATGTATCTGAAATTCAATTTTTGTGAGACATGTAAAGCATTTTGGTCTTGGAGAAGGTAGTAAAATGCAGTAGAGTGTTTTTTGTATTGTGCCTGTTGCAACTGTAACCATGCTTTTTTCTCTGTTTTTGTTCCAGTGAAACCAGCAGTGTTTGCAGCAGCAGTGATACTGGCTTGTTTACCAATGATGAAGGCCGCCAAGGTAACAGGTGTCCTGTGATTTTCCTCATGTGCTGCTAGGGAGTTCCTTACTTTCCTTATAAATGCAGAGAAAGATCTGTGTTTGAAGAGAGACAGAGAGGGAATTGTGTGAGATAAAACCAGTGGCAGGGAGTGGCTAGAAGTTAAGCAATGAGATGAGGGCTACAAATGTATGATTTTCACAACACTACACTTTTTCTAATGAAACACTTTGTGTATCAGATCCATAATATTTGCAACATAAGAAACTATTATTGTGGGAAGGCACAGACATACAAAAGGAATTTGAGAGCTCTTCATAATGACAAAACACAGCTTATGATTTGTTTCTCTAGGTGTTTTAAGGGTTGTCTGCATACCATTAGTGCCTGAAATCTGTTAATTGTTTTCTCTATTAGAAGGAAGAGAAGATGGGAAAAAAATTAGTTAATACTGACAAGTCACCTAATAGACTCTGCTAGAAGATGATGGTAATACGTGATATTTCTTTAAATATGTATTCCTCCCTTGCTCTTGTGGGCATTAGTTGAACATTGTATTTTCAATGTCTGTTGTAGAAATGGTATCTTAGGAGTTTTGAGTGTGAAGTGCAATCTGGTTTTATTTATCACCTGCAGCACAATGCTCAGTTGATGGCAGAAGTAAGTGTGATACAGGTTGTAGTAGGCACATAGGCATTGAGGACTATTATATTTGGAGCACGTGGAATGTGACCCTAGAGACCTGCAATTCTGTGCACTCTGATTCTGTCACATTTCACAAGCTAAGATTTGGATGAGATCTCTTCTGGGAATATGAGTGCTAAAGGAAGTAGCACCAGTAGCTCAATAGGATATGCTGCTTCCACTAGCTTGTTAATGGCCTGGGTACCTGTGTGAAGCAACACAATGATAGCAAACATGCTTATGTGTTTTCTGATGGTATTTTAGGCTGTAGGAACAATCTCTGATCTTAGGGGAGTATAATACTTTGCTTAAGAGTAGGGATTTTGAATATCAGCTTTGACCTTTGCTGAAAAATAACTATTTCCAGACTCTGGTTCTTCAAAGGCAACAGAAAAGTAGAATCTTTTGCCTTCTCTTTTTACTGATGATTGTTCAGGGGGAGCTGAAATTAGTGAGCTTGTGAAATTAGTGAACTTGTATATTAGATGACAAAGCAGAGTGGTGACTGAAGTGTTTTACTTCATCACCTTAGACAAGATTGATGGAGACTGGGTAGTGTATATATATATACTTGTCTATATGCTTGCCCTATAAACTTGCCCTGATTTTATACCCTGTTTTAGACATTAATTTTTGGCTGCTGCTAGAAGTAGGATGCTCAGTATACAGGAACATGTAGAAATACGACTTAGATAAATTAATAAAGACCAATTACAGCCTTCCCTGTCTGGGTAAGAGAAGAGGTTTGGCATCCTTGTCATCAGGTCTCTCTCTTGAAACAGTTGATACTGTGATAGCTTTCTGGCCAAGGTGTTTTAGCTTACAGTTATGTTAAAAGGGTTAAAAATATTGTTGCACTTTAGGACTAAATAAAAAATATCTAATTTTCCTTTTTTTTGCTTGACAATTCTATAAAGTAAATAAAAAAGCAACAGCTTTCCATGTCAGTGAGATGGTGAGAGCACAAATTATTTTTGTCACAGATCATCACCTTATAAATAGTTTTCCAGCACAATTACAGGCTGAATAATGGGAAACTTAATCTGGCAGCATTCTTAAATAAAAGCAGGGTTTTTCCTTCCTTCTTTTGAGGTTGCATCATGCAAAATTTGTGCTGTTGCTAATTAAATAAATCATCTTAGCAACTGCAAATATCAGCATGCTTCTGTGAGCAGAGAATGATCCTAGTTCATAATTTGATTGTAAGGTGGGGTTTTTTGGTTTTATATTTGTTACATGCATTGGGATCTCTTACAGTGAAAATTACTGAATATTAGCATATGGTGCTGATGGTTAAAGTTTGTCTTGTGGCAATAGTGATTTGAGGTAGACAGGGCACTATGCTCAAATTTCTGGGAGTAGTTTTGCACAAATTAAGATCTCTTAGAAGAACTATTCCACGTTACTTAGTTTCAATTTCCTATGAAGTGCTTTAAGATAAAACTCGAAGGTCAGCTTGATGCATGACATAAAAAACAATGTCAGAGCTTTGGGATAAAGTGTTCTGGCTGTCCTCCCTATTGCTGATCAGAGTTGGTTTTGTGTGTTGCTTCTTCTGTTATGTGCAAGATTGCAGCATTCTTACTAGGATGAGGTTTTTTACTTTCTTGTGTTCTTTTTTTCCCCAGCAAGATGTGTGAGTAGGCATAATGGGCTTTGGTCAGGAATAATGTAAGTCAGTGAGGAAAGGAGAGTAAGTGGGGATGTTTGAGTTGAAACTTAATGGTAGGCAAATGAGAATTTTCCCTAAGGTAGGTGTGTTAGTTTTTTAAGCACCAAAATGAAGGACCTTGCAATTACATAGGGCGGTTTGTGAATTGGGCTACTGAAATGCTGCATGTGTCAGGTTCTTAGCTCTCCTCCTGCTTTTTTTTCAAAGGCTGCTCATGTGCTACTGCTCTCAGGGAATTTCTGGCCAGACAGATTTACTATGAACAGTGTCTGATGCAGTTCAGTTTTAGACTGCAACTGCACTAACTACAGCGACCCAGCTCCGTGGAGACTTTGGTCATGACTTCTGTTGCTGCTGCCTTAGTTTTCCAAAGGGTTTGTAGTTCTCAGAGATTCTAAGAAGTTGATTGAGAGCAACTCACAGCATACTTACACTCAGAGTGACCATTTCTGATAATTATGTGTTTTTGTCTGAGCTGCTGTCTTAGGAGACTGGGGGTCTTTCTCATCAATATGTTTCTTTGCTTACTCTGTGAGCCTGGTCTTCCCCTCTTGTGAAGTTTCTTCTGTGACAGCCTATAACATGTGCCCAATGATTGGCCTCTACTGGTGTCCCAGTAATTACTTCAGAGAAAGAGTTCTGCATAAGACATCACACAACACTGAACTAGGGTTGATGAGATGCAGTAGCAACAGAGTGCTAAACCTGCCCTAGGCAGGTCTATAAAGAGGCTTTGTTCTATAGGGAAATTCTGGAGACTGATGAGTTGGATAGTTTAAAGCGTTTAGTGAGGCCCCATAGTTACTGAGGATCATTGAAACTGAATACAAATATAAGGCTCTCCAACAATGAATTCCTAATGAGACTTCAACTGTTTCACATTCAGATATGCCTACTTTTAGTATTTTGAGGAACTGTGCCAGGGTACCTTGATGTTATTTATGGCTAATTCCATCCTATTTCTTTAGGAGATGATGAGCAAAGTGATTGGTTTTATGAGGGGGAGTGTGTTCCAGGATTCACTGTCCCCAACCTTCTTCCCAAGTGGGGAGCTGATCACCGATCTGAAGTGGAGAGGATTGACTCAGGCCTGGACAAGCTCTCTGTTTCCACCTTCCTTTTGCCCTCACAGCCAGCTCAGAGAGGTGAGTCCATAAGGAATTGTGTTTGAGAACTTGTGGTATAATGGTATGAGTAGATTCTTTTCATAGGTGTTGCATTTAAATTGGTATTGGTGATCAGTTTAGTTTTGGGTTTTTTTTAAGATCCAGTTAAGAAAAAGCTGCACTATTGGCGAGTTTACTGAAATAGTCATACCAGCTGTCCACGGGCAGTCTTCCTTTCTTTAAATGTAAGTGTTTTATTTGATTTGTGAATAAACGGGCATATCTACATCTTCGAGACTGAAAAACAAGAGACAGGGGGTCTGATTTGATTACTGAACTAAGGCATTTTTTTGGTGGCTTTGTCAGGAGGTATCTTCTGTGTTCATTGCTCAGTTTTTCTGCCTTTGGTTTTCAGGATTTCATGCTCGCCTGAATCGCCTTCCAGGAGCTGCCGCCCGTTGTCTCCGTAAAGGTCGGAGGAGGCTGGTTGGCAAGGTATGCCCTTTTGAAAGATGGTAATTTTGTATTTCAAGTTCTGGTCATTCCTGAAGTACTATTCTAAGGTACCATGTAAATTGTTTTCTGCAGAAAGTTGTCCTGTATATTTTTTGTTTCATGTGTTGTTTGATTTGTTTAACTGTTTTGACTGTCAGATGATGATTGAGTGACTAACTGGATTTTAAGGCACATTTGGAGTGGCAAAGACAGCTGATCAACGCTGAAAGCTGTATGAAAGGAGGCCTGAAGAAGAATGTCAGGGAGCATAAATATCAAGAAGATTTAGACAGAATGTAAGGGAAAATGATGATGGCATGTGACTTGTGCATGCTCATCTGAGACTACAAGGGCAGAGATGTGCCTCAAAGGTGAAGGAAGGCCAAATTTTATATAAGGAAGAAGACTGATATGAATGGCAGCAAAGGAAGGTGGTTTTAGCAGTTGCATTTTTAGTGGGAAGACAGGAGAGTAAAAAGGTATATGCAGTACATGCAGACAAAGCTGCCCAAAGCTCTTGACTTATTATATAGTTTTATTATATATAGGGAAAACACCAAACAACATATCAGTCCTTTTTCTAATAGAACAAACAATACTCTGCAGATCTCTGTTTACTTCGCAGACGTCTGTCTACTTTGCAGGTGTCTGTCTAAAAGAGAGGGGTACACCTGGTTGGGTCTGCATCATGGAGTATTGAGCACTGCTGTTTGTTATAAAAGGTGGTTCTGAGAAGGAAGGTGTTGGCTGTCTTTGGCTTTTCTTTTTATTGTGATGTGCTCTGTACTTTTGAAAACATTGCCATAAATTCTGAGCTGGCTGGCTGTAGTCTGCTAACAAGCTGTGTTAGGGGGGCCTGGAGTCTAGAGGAGTGCGACAGCTGCCTTCTGTTCAGTCATACTTGAAAGATCCTTGTCTGCCCCTTCTTTCTTCCACTCACCTTGCTTAATTGTAACCGGCATTCAAAATATGAATCCTCAGCTGGCAAGAAACTGACTTTAGTAGGGTTCCTGAGGCCACCTGCAAGCGACTGGGCCTGGCGGCACACCTCTAATGATCCAAATGAGAAGGATAATATTTACTTGTTTAATTCATCTTCATCACCTTAAAGGGATCTTTGTCATTTGCAGTGGAGGTCACTGCTCCCCCTTCCCCATCTCTCTCGAAATTGTAATCATAAATAATGAGTTTCATTCAGAGCTCCCCGCCAGCGAGCTGCTAATTACCAAAAGTACGGCTTGTAATTTACACAGTAATAAACTGTAAATTTAAACATTATGGCACTTTAAGTTAATAATTTTCCTGCTGTAACAAATAGCCCATGTTTCTTTCACCCCTGCTGCTACAGCTGCCCCCAAACTTTGAGTGTATTTTGCCTATATACCTGGTATAAACGAACCTTACCTGTGGAAGACTTTTGCCCTCGTCTTCAGCCCCTTGCTGAAAAGTCTGCTTCTTTCTTGGAGGCAGTTGCTATGCAGATGTGAACAGCTGGTGCTTCAGGCTGTGCGTGTGCATGTATGCCAGCATCGAGCACATACACAGGGCAGCATCTTGCAGGAAGCAATATACTCCCAGAGCAAGCCCTTTCTCCCAGGACCTGCCTTTTCTTTAGTTGCTGGAGGTCCTGCTGCTGAATTGCTGCTTTTAGAAAGGGCAAAAGCATTGTGCTTTCACTCCTTAATTTATTCACTGGTGGTTGATGAATCTCTACTATTAATGTAGAACAGTGTAGTGTCCTATCTCAGCCTGTTTCTAGCCCAACTGACCCCAGTAACATGGAAAGAAGCACTTCCCAGCCATCTCCCCTCCTCTCATGCATCCTTTGTTCTATTACTTTGTTCTAGTCCAGTTTGTAGTGTGCCCCTCTGCAAGCAAATGTCATCACTAAAAACAAAAAACAAGCCTCATAAATAAAATTGAATTATTTTCTGCTATTCTAATTAGTTAAATCATCTCAGGTGAAGTTCTAAAAGGAAGGAAGTGAGCATGTTTAGCTGAGAGTAGGCTGGTAAGGAAAGGATGTGACCTAGGAGAGTAAGAGTTGTTCTTACTGGCAGCAGCAAGCTGCTCTCTGCTCACTGTGTGAGAGTTTGCAACCTTTTGCCTGTCTTTGTGTTTCAGGAGACCTCCATGAGCACTCTGGGCAGCGAGCGGCTGGGTCATATTGTTAGTGATCCGCGCCAGAAAGAGTAAGGCCCGTAACGGTTCTTGTATGCACCTTTGGGAAGGGAAGAAGAGCTCTTCCCTTCTGGGGGTGAAGAACATGAACAACTGGGTGGACAGTTAAGCATAACCTGTGGAATGGGAGACAGTATTCTACTGATGGCTTCTCTGTTTTCTTACCCATAATTGCTGTCTTCCCCTTTGTTTTATATATATATATATATATATATATATATGTTTTTTATAAGGCTGCCCCAGTGTGTGGACGCTACTCAAATAATGCTGACAAGGCAGCTGTGAAATTACTTTTTCTTTCTTTGGTGTTTTGCCTCCTTCCACAATTAGTGTATTTAAATTGTAGTCAGCACTAGAAGTAGTCTTGGTGCTTATCCTTTGGCATCTCCCTAATGCTGTTCTGGGGAATGGGTAGGTGGGGATTGCACGTCTTGACTGTAGTGCAGTGGATCCAGCCTTCACCAGCTGTTGATACCTAATTTTCTTCCTTGATCTGAAATTTGTTGTTTTTAATATGACTCCTGATGATGTTTAATCTTTTTCCTTCTCCCTCCATCTTTGTTCTTCCATTCCCCTTTTTTCCTTATCCCCAACCCTCCTTTCCCCCCCCTTCCATGTTCGTTCCTTGGCATTGTGCCCACCTGTTCTTTCAACTCTGCCTCCTTCCAGTTTTTGGTTACCATCCATGGGGAAGAGAGATCGCAACCAGGTGAGGAGACTCTGCTTTTCCCTTTTTATTTTCTTGGTTTCCTTCTCTCTAGAAAGAACACAATGCTGGCTTCTGATTTCCCACACACTGTGGCCTGTGCACTTGAGGTAAGGCAGTCCCGTCCCTTCTCATTTTGTTAACTGATGTCTTCTGCACTTTGAATACAACCCATTTCCTAGGCATTGTATTGTCTATTTAAATTGGATAGCTCAGGAACTCCTTTTATTTATGTCCCTGTTTCAGGTTAGTGTTTGCCATCCATTCTGAGTGAGTGGGAGGGAAGATGCCTCTTGGCAGGAGGAGCTTTGGCCTCTCAAAATTGTATGAGAATTGGAAGATTTTTCTCTTTTGACATTTTTTTCTGCTTTGTTTTGCCTTGTTTGGCTCAGCCTTCTACCTGATAGTCTCATCCACAGAGAAGGGAAAAAATAGTGAGCTTAAATTATGTAGTTAAATAGCTGTACTGGCAAAATGTAAGAGGTGATAACCAAGAGAAATAGGCATTCTTGTAACTGAAACTCTTGTGTGTGCACTTTTATATTCTCCACTAAGTTTTTGTTAGCTTCAGTGCTAAGAGGTTTTTTTTACTTTAAGATATAAAAGCTCAAGTTCTTGATAGCAAAGTGCAAAAAAACACTCTTCCGTTTGAGCAGTCGTGTTGTAGCAGTGCTCCTGGCCATGCACACTCCTTTCTATTCCTATATGAGTTGTTTTATGGTTGGTGAGCAGTAGGACTGGTTTTTTTTTAACCTTCAGGTGACTAAAAATGCATATATTGCAAGAAATAATTTTCAAGCCTTTGTACAATTGTGTATTTTCCATTAGTGAGAACATTTTACAGATTGCTTTTGTATTGCTATAGTAATACTCTTATCTAAAGATAAGAGCAACTACATAAGCTTTAAAATGACCAAAAGTAAGTAACTTCTGTTTTTCTTAAATGAACTTGAATCAGGCATTCCAGTAACAGAGGCTTCCTGGTGATGTTCCCTACTGTGCAACTGCAGTGTTACTGACAGTAAACAAGCAGTCCCACTTAAGGAGGAGCTCCCTGATAGCAGCAGCTTTGTGGTGCATCTTCTTTCTCAGGAAGGTGGAGGGTAAAGGTACTAGTACTGAGTTCTGAAGTTGCAGACAGGTTGTATGAGGAGTCCAGCTACAGGTGTGGATTGTTTCTTTGTCCTTATTTAAAAATGCATCAGTAATCCTAGTAATACAAGAAAAATGTTCTGGAGATTGCTGTAGCACTTTGCAAAGCAGATGGAAATTAATTTCATGCTTGAGGTGTGAATTACAAATAAAGAGGAAATGCCAAATGGAAGTATAAAGCAGGTAGCCCAAAGAAACTACCAGTCTAAAGCTTCTATTTACATATTGAGCAAAATTTGTTCCATGCATTGATTGATCAGATTATTCCATTTCTGTCCTGACCACTAAAAATCCTGGTCATTGCATTTTGTACAACAAGCTGTCTTGCACAGGTTTGATGCCCTCAAGATTGTTCTAGTGTATGTCTAACAGAGTATCTGTTAGAAACAATGCCTGACCATGCATTGTTTCAAAAATGTTTTAAGCAGTTTGCAGAGACAGCTTGTGAGGTTGCAGGAGAGTGAAGGAGCAACTCACTTGCCATGGAATGAATTGGGTGCTCATTGTGAACTTAACCTGATGGGCCTGAGTCTTCTAGAGGTCTGTTTCAGTGATGTACACAACCCTTGGGAATACAGGAACTGCTCTGTGCTTGCACAATTCATAACAGTGACTTATTTCTCTGCAATGTGAAGGTAGACAAGAGGCTTTCTGAAAGAAAAGTAGATTTTTTTTCTCCCAGCATGCAGCAATAGAGCACTTATGCTCTTAATCAACCAGCATTTTTAATAATGCAAGATGGAAGAGGAGTGTGCTGAGGCTGTCTGTTGTGAGAAGGTGGTTGTCAGATTTGCTGTTTCACCCTTTGTGCTAGCCTTTTGTCTGTTCTCATCTTGAGGTGCCAGAAAGGTCTCCTTCTACTATGTGGACAGCTGAAAGTCTCCTTATATTGTGTGAACAGAACAGATCTGAGGAGCTTTATCTGGACACTATTTCTTTTAATGCTTTTCTTAAATAAAATCTCTTGACTTTCCAGTTCAATCCATTATCTCCTCTGTACTCTCTGGATGTGCTTGCTGATGCTTCCCACCGAAGATGCTCACCAGCACACTGCACTGCCAGGTAACTCCCTTGCTCTGCTTTCTTGGGGTTGGCTCGCTTCCCTCTCCTGGATGTCTTCAGTAGTACTGTGTGATCTGAACAATAATGGACCTGCAACTTAACATACTTTTCCCTGGGAAGTCCACGTCCAAACTTAGCACAAAATATAGCAATGCAGTTTATTTGAGAATTTCAATGAACTAAGTGCTTACAGTGTGTGAAACAGAGTATGACAGACAGGCAGAACATAGTGTTCCTTTAGAAAAAACTGCAATGTGTTTTGCAATGTGCAATGAGTTGCTGTAAGTCTGTTTAATAGATACAAATGGACATAGTATCATTGCCCACTATTAAAATTGGAACAAGATGAGAGGGAAAATGCTGACAAACTGGTGTAGGTGACATGCTGAAGCATTTGGCTATCCTAGGTGTCTAAAATAGACCCTCTGATCAGATTAAGAACTCACCTGAGGTGACCTCTAGTAGCTTGATACCTCTCTGTAGCAATAGCTGAAATTTAGATCTGGTTTGGCCAGATGTTAGGTATATTTGAGTCTGCATAGTTTGGGTTAATATACTATTCAGGCACCTTCTGCTGACTAATCCTAAATTAAATTCAAGTGTTGGCCTTAGAGGTGACTCCTGTTTTTGTGCTGCAGGTGACTGTCTAAAGGTAAGGTGCCCTTGAGCTCTTTTTCTGTGCAAATAGACAAGGTCTTGCTTTGGACACAATTCTGCTTATGTGCTTGTACCAGGGGCCCAATCTGAAAGAAATGTCTGGACTTTCAGCTTCATGGCTTTCTTTCCCTTGTTAATTAGCAAATAGAGCATGAAAAATGTACTAAGGTTGTATGTGTCTGAACAGAAGCCTGGCACCCACCCAGCAAAGCCTCTCTTCCCACTGGGTTCTGCAGGGAATTTTGCGATGTCGCACCATGACCTCATGCTGCTGTAGCCAGCATGTTAAGCTGGAAAAGGGGAGGGAGGAAGAAATCAGCTCTTAAATGTTCAACTGGATGAGAATAAAAGGAATTCAGAAGATTGTGCATCAGCAAATTGATTCCTTTCTGTGCTTTTGCCCCACTCTGGGGATGTTTTCACTCTGTGAAGGAAGAAGATTGAATGGTCTCTTCATTTTCGGCTAGGATAGCCTTTCTTTTGCCTCCAGTGTATTACTTGGTGCTTTATAGAAGTTTGTCTTCAGAAAGGTGAGCTGGACAAATCCTGCTTGCAAATTCAAACTGGGCAAAATTTCTGCCTTTATGATGGTCAGTGAAGGCCCTTTGCAAAGCCAAGTTCTTTGCAAGGGATTTCTAAACCTAGAGGGATTGTGTTTGCTAGGTTTTGTGGGTATATAGTCTAGTTAACCAGTTAATATATATGCTTGGTTCCCTCCTTTAATGAACAGATGGCTGGTGTTCTGACAAACATAATCACTGAATTGTTACTGAGTTGACAGAGAAATTGTACCATCTCAGATGCAATCGTGTTTTTAAATGCCTGGAATCTGAGAAAATAGTTCCTATTTTAGTGTGAAATGTGCTCAAGAACCTTTATAGGAGAAAGAAATATGAAAAGAATGAGTGTGTTTTGTGGCCCCATGTATGTGGCAAGGATTGAACTCTTTGGTACAAGGAGCTTCCTTTATGTAAAGATGCTGCTAAGGGCACAGAAGGAGATTGTTCCTTCAGAGAAACATCTTCTTGATAGTAGTTCTTCTTAGCTTTACATGCCAAGCACACTTGTTAGTAGTCCATTTTCTTACAGGAGGTTCAGCTGATCTCTGTAAGCTCAGACCAGCTATTGCCCCCGTTAACATCTCCTGCTTTTGCCATGTATGGAATCAATTTCAGTAGTTTGTGCTTCGGGAAGCTTCTAACAGCTTGCACCTCATCCTGAAGAAATTCTGCTCTGAAATTTACCAGAATGGGAAGCAAATCCTCTCAAATAATATGAAACATATTAGAAAAGACATGGTCTTGATTTTGTGGCCATCCAGTTTCTTCAGCTTGATGCCTGCTGTGCCATGCAAAATCTCCTTTCTCTGCTTTGTTTCTGCTGTCATGTCCAGTGGAGTATATTTACCAAACGGAGTCTTTCTCTGCTATGGAACTGTTTTCTTTGTCTCACTGGTGGATTTTGGTGCAGTTTATCTGGAAGACTGGTAACCCAGTACTTTTGCTTAAGCAGAGCTGAAGGCCAGAATACTGAATGCAGCTGAGGATTGAGAAAGAACCTCCTCCTTGACACTGACAAGCCTATGTAGAAGGTTCCTTGGGAAGCCTTATTTGAAAGGCAGTATAAATCCTACACTACCTTTCTTGATTTATGTCTGTGATGAGAAGAGCTTTCATTCAAAGTGTATGCACAGCACTGGGAATTTCACACCCATCATTAGAAGCAGTTTTGTGTGTGTGGTGACTGTTATCATTAGTGGTATAATTTTATTTTGTGAAGCAAGGAGAGTTTTCTGCTTTCTTGCAGTCTTCCCTAGGGATGGCTGGTGTATTAATTTGCTGTATTGCCTCCTGGCTGTTCCCAGACTGTTTTTCCTCTTCATCATGGAATTTTTAATGGCCCTGCTGCCTCTCGGGAGGCATGCAAGGAAGAGTACCTCAGGGATCTCTTCTTTTTTCACATGCCTATAATTACTCTCCTTTAAGAGCACAAAACGTTTGCTAATCATGTCTTGTCTGTTAAGGTTTCGACTTCACGGTGCAGACTGCTAAAAGCAAGAAAGTAGAGACTTACACAGGCAACTCAAGGGATCCTTCCTCTTTCCCTCTGCCTGTTTGCCTCTCTGGGAGGAGCAGTCTGAACACAATTTTGTTGTAGAGCTTCTTCTACTTAAGAGGATTTTGTATAGGCTGAAGTTGAATATTTTATTAGATGTTGGTTATTCAATATTCTGTAGCTGAGAAGATGTTGTAGGTTGTTGATTGATGGAATGCTATTCCCTTGAGGCAGGCATAAGAGTTTCAGAAGAGCCTAGAACCAATGTTCCCTTTGATTTGAATAGCAGGCAGAATAAGAGAGGAAGGTAGAAGATAAATTGTCCTTAATGTCGTTTATTATTTGCCTAGCCTTGAAAATAGGATTATGAGTGAAAAAAAGCAATTAAATGTTCCCACTGGAGGTCATAAGAAAAGTGGACCTTGGATGGCAGGCAGATGTTGAAGGTGGGGACTTGAAGGATTGTATTAGACTTTTGAACAGCACAGATAAAGAAAATTGCTTTTCATGTACTCTGTTAATACTAACTGTGAATCTAAAGTTTAATCTGATTTAGAAGCAAGTCTGTCACCTTGCCTGGAACATGGCATAAAGATGTAGAGGCATGAGTGATCTCCTCATTTACTGCAAGTTGCCCCATCCTCTGGGGTGGTGGTGCTGTTAAATTGAACACACTTGAATGTCTCAAATTTCAGTTCCGGTCCTAGAAGTATGAAAATAAATATTGTTCTGTCACTTCTGCATCTGTACGCAAAGATCTTGATATTTTTCTGCCTCTTACCCAAGCATGTGGAAGTACAGGGATTGCCTGCAAGGTCAGGCCTTTTCTGAGGCAGCTGAAGGAGTGAACAGATGTCCTCAATTTCATACTTTCCCGTTTGAGCAAGACAGTATCCAGTTCATTGTAGGCAACCTTTCCCCCTATTTTTTTACTCTTTTTGCATTTAGCTAGAGGATTTTCATGTCTTCCTTTGCTAAACCCTGGCTAACATTCCAGTTGGGAATATAACTGAATTCTTCTGACAGGCATGCAGTGAACAGCAGCTATCAACCTAGTGTCACATGCAGTTGACTGGGACCTAATATTCCCATTTTGATGAATCCTAATTCTCTGGTGTGAAAAATAAATTCACCTTCGCTTCAGAATTTTTTTTTTTACTTGCTATTTCAAATCTGTGTACTCAGCAGATCTGGCAAATAGTAGGAGTCTTTCTGGCATAGTTACAGTGTGATTCAGTGTGAAAATAGGGAATATAATATATGGGATCACATCTCTCTTTAGGGTGCTTACATGGAAAACAAGAAGAAAATGCATTCACTTGCATTTGCCTCATGCAGACTTTTAGGAATGAAATTGCCACATCATTATAATGCTTAGTTGGGGAACAGACTGCTGCTGTTGAAGATCTATGAGATTTGGATGATTGAAGAAGTGAGCTGACCTATTAGAGATTTTGGAATCTGAAAATGTGCTCTAGAAGCCTTCCCAAGAGGCTCTGCAGGGCGTAGGAGACTGCTGTGCATTGGGAATATCTACACTGGGATGTGATAGCAAGAACCACTTGTACATGTGGGAGCTTTGCATGCAGATAGGATGAGCAACTTGTATTGATTTACACATGTTATGTGCAGATTAGACTGGTGCCCAGCTGGCTCTGTAGTCAAAGAAGAGGAAGAATTCTGCTTTTACTATTAATTTTGTGAAGCCACCATCAACAGCCTCAGGTAACACCTCAGGGCTTAGAGAAAGAGCCTTTCATTTGGCTTGTGTTTGCTCTGAATAAAGCATCACAACAGCAGCAGCTGGGTTGTGTGGAGTTTTAGTAGCAGTATCTTTGTTAAAAGGCAGTCTCTATTAACATTCACTTTAACATGAGGATAATAACATCCCTTGTTTTTATAGTAGTACACTAATGACTGCCTCTCACTGTATAATCCATGTGCTTTGCTGCTTCTGAGGATAGGGTTAGAATAAAGAGTGTAAGCAGACAAGCTGGATGATGTGAGATGACAGTGAGAGGCGTCCACCCACAAGTGTGCAGTGTGCCTCTTGCCTCCAAGAAGGCCACAGGTTGTCACATTTAGCTCTGTATGGCCTTTTCAGAAACCTTTGTTGCAAGATTGAGCTGGCTTTTACCCTGAATTTTAAAAGAGTGGACTTTGTGCTACAATTTAGACTTCACAGATAGTGATATTTTCAGGGTCCTGATGCTGTTCAGTAAGATTCTTTGTTGACTAGTGTCTGCTTGTGCACTGTATTGTCTCTCACAGATTATATTGTCAATCCTAGTTTTCTGTTGAAATACTGTGGTAGATATAAGATAGTGGCAAGCTCCAGTGCACGGTGATCTCAAACTGTAAAAGTGAGATGGGAGTCCTGTGTATGCAAGCACTGATCATTAAAAATCACGTAAATAAAGTAATAGAATAAATACGTGGAAAGGAAATGAAAGGAAGCATTACTTCTGACACATTAGAGACTACCATGAATTTAATCTTTCTGCATAACAAAGCCTGGTTTTTCTCCAGCATTACCTGCATGCAGAACTGGGTACCATAAGTACTAAGTTAAAAATAAAAGACAAAAAGTATTTCCTAAATAATTCCTTTAGTTTGTCATTACAAAAAATATTATCACTGTCAAAAAAAGACACTACAGACTTTTCATATTGTTGAAAGCCATTTTTCCTATATATGTGTAATTTTTCATTCACTAACTCCTGGCAGTGACTGCTGTGTGAGTTGAATATATTGCAGCCAAAAAAACAGCCACATTTTTGATCCTGATTTGTTTCTCTAAGTGTGTTCTCCTTTTTCTCTTCCAGGGTTAGAATTTCTGTTATCTCTAGATTGTAAACTATGTTTTCATGTTAGTCTCTGGTCACCTGGCAGATCCACCTGTGACTAAGCACTGCAACTTCTGTTTTTTTCTTATGATAAAACTGTCATAGTCCAAAAGAAATCAGGGAATTATTTTCTCCTTACTATTTATGCAAAATTGAAGAAAGCATGGAGGCTTAGCAGAAGAGATTGAAGTCTAGTAAGGACAGTGTAAGTCCTATTCTACTTCATAAGTTTAGGCCCAGATCTTTCATCTCACAAAGTTCTGGTATCAAACTTCTTCACAGAAGGCTGTGACAATGCACAAATATGCATTTTCTGTCAGCCTTTCCTGTTCTAGTCTACTTTAGAGTAATTTTTAACTGTTCAGAAGAGTTGTTAAAATTCAGCTTCGGAAGGAAAACTAATTCATCATTGCAACTTGTGATATTTTCACATTTTATAATTTAGCCTAGTCACTGCTGTTTTAGGTGCTGTGCATATCCTTGACTTGACTGTCCTAGTGGTGGTGTTGTAGGAGTCTATAGGAGTCTACTGTTAAACTGGGATTCACGAATTCTATTATCTCACTGATATAGACCTTCATGCAAGCTAGTGATTAGAAATTTACATTGAAAAGTGTGCTATCTACCAAAAATCTCCATATTTCATAAGTTATACCTCAAACATCCTTTCTGTCCAGGCCTTAATGAAGACTATCACCCCTGAATGTAGTCTTCTGCTCTTCTCTCTCCCAAGGTACTTACTACCTGGAGATTCCCTGCAGATTTATGGTGCCTGTAAAGTGCGCCATCCACTTGAAATGACACTTTTACCACTGGGTCAGTCAGAGCCAGTGAATAATCAATAGGTTCCTGATTTACTAACTGAAGTGTGGGTGATCAATAAGGGATAAACCGGAAAGAAAAACATAAACATGTTACAGAGACAATTTATGACCTCTGAGCCTTTGTATCTTAGAGGCAGGGCTACTACATACAGCATTCTTGCTAGTAGTCTTCACCTGAAGTGTGATTTACCTTTACTTGCACTACAAGAAGGGATTTTGAGATTCTTCTGTTTTCATTTTTCTGTTTTTTACCCCTTGTGTAAGGGTAGATGTTCGAGTATATCACTGAGAGCCAGGAGCTTTTATGCAAAATCTAGCCGTAACATTTGTGAGCTGGGAAAAATTGCATAAAGCCTCTTGGAAATTATAGTACATACTTCTTTCCTAGTCCATAGTGCTTTTCCACCTAGGATCAACTGGCTAATGTTGATGTAAGTTCATAAAATTAGAAAGGGAACATTTAAAAATTATTTTTGTTGTTACATTATTTAAAATTAATTGGATTATTATATACAATTATATAATAATCTTGCAGTTAGTAATCTAATACTGTGACACTGATGTAGAATAAAAAACTGAATCTTTTCTTCAGTCTATGTGTTTAGATGTTTCCGAATACATGGTTAAAGCTATGTTGAAACAGTGTATAGCCAGTATAATAGTCATGTACAAAAGCAGTTTTTAGCATTTACAAAGTTACTTAGAGGTGAGTCACTTTGATATACAAACATGAGATTTGAATGTGCATTCTGTAGATGTGCCACTATTTTTGAAAGCTTTTTCCCTCCAGGGATGGTTTCTCTAACCACCTCCCTGAGCAGCTCATTCCAATGTTTGACAACTCTTTCCTTGAAGAAAGTCCTTCTGATATCCATCCTGAGCCACCCCTGGTACAGCACGAGGCTATGTCTTCTCATTCTTCTGCCAGTTGACTGGGAGATGAGACTGACCCCCACCTGGCTACGCCCTCCTTTTAGGTAGTTGCAGAGAGCAATATGATCTTCCCTGAGTTTTCCTTCCCCCAGGCTAAACAACCCCAGCTTCCTCAGCTGCTTCTCACAGGTCTTGTGCTCTGGACCCTTCCCCAGCTCCACTGCCCTTCTCTGGATATGCTCCAGCACCTCAATGTCCTTTGTAGTGAGGGGCCCAGAACTGAGCACAGGACTTGAGGTGCAGCCTGCCCAAGTACAGGGGAATGATCCCTTCTCAGGTTCAACTGGCCACAATATTCTTGATCCAGGCCATGGTGCCGCTGGCCTTGGCCACCTGGGCACACACTGGCTCATGTTCAGCTGCTGTTGTTCAGCACCCCCAGGACCTTTTCCTCTGGGCCATTTTCCAACCACCCTTCCCACAGCCTGCAGTGATGAATGGGGTTTTTGTGGCCAAAGTGAAGGACCCAGCACTTGGTTGTGGTGAGTTTACTGAGAATACACTCGATCCCCTCAGGCAACTTCTTTGTCTGGTTGTATTAATATGTGATCCCACATTTGAAAAACTGGCTGTCTGTGAAACGTAGCACTATTTAAAATTTTTTGAAGCTGTTCTTCAATGTCAGATTTAGAGGACAGATCTTATAGGCTTCTTGTAGAACTTTTGAATTTTAGTTGAGAAGATGGAACAGTAGGTATTTCTATTTTTTTTTATGGTTGCACTTTTTTTTTTTTTTCAGGTAAATAGATAGACCCAGCAGCATTCAAACAATTTATAGACTGGACTAGTATAGGAATTTCTTTGTGGTCCCTGCACTGTTCTGTATAGATGCAAGAGGACAATTTGTTTTTGTATAAATACAGCATCTCAAATGATACATATTGTAAATATATTTGTTTTTTTAAATAGATTTTTGTCATGAAAATAAATACCCATGAAGTTCTCATTTTTTTATATTTCAAAGGCTTTAGTATGTGATAAAAGTGTTTGTTAAACTTGCAGGATTTTTTTTAAAGTCAAAGTAACAAGCTTTGAAGACACTGAAGCTTTTCAGCACTTAATCATCAAAATTTGTAGGGTTACAAATTTTACATCATGAAAGTTCCTCACAGTCTTTAACTGATTTTATTTGCACTGTTGTTCTGCATTTTGCACATCAGATCTCATGATAAGAGTGACCAAGGAACTTGACAAGGGAAGTCTGTTATATTGGACAAAGAAGGGATTTGAACCCAATGCCATTGCTGAATTATGTCTTTATATTCATTATGGATGGTATTTGAGGAAATTCTCTGGTCTGCTGCAGACTGTTATTTCTGAATTAAACTTCTCTGCTTCCTACAGGTACATGACTTGGAGGAGCTCTCAGCTCAAGTCAGTTCCAGCAATACAGGTTTCTTCTTAATTGGCAAATGATTAAACTGAAATGGCCATCAGTAGGCTTCAGACTTAACAGTTGATATTAACAGAACAGATTAAGCTTTTCAGCCAGTTTAGAGGTGCAACAAGGCTGCCATAAGTCAGATTCAGCTGTTTGCACAGCACTTTAATAAGGAAACTGTGATTTTAAAAGCACGAGGCAGTTTTGCATTGCTAAATTTACGAACTTACTGCTATAATGGAAACAGCAGGCATGGACATTTGGCATTATAGGTACATTTTAAGATGATTCTACAGTACCAAATAGATTGCAAAATAATTTCTGACTAAGGAACAAATATCACCCAGTTTACATAAAGAGCAATCTTGCAGACATTTGTTTTTCTTCCATAGAAGTAATGGTAGGACACGTGATATCACTGCTTGATTACATCTTTATGTATGCAAGGAGTTAATTTGGAATTAATACAAACACAGAAGGTTAAAGGCTTTAAATTCTAATAAACAATTATTCTTCTGGACAGTCTGTGTGTGAGCTCTTAAAGGAAATGGGAGCATAGTTTATATTGACAAAGAATGTGAGCAGAACTCCCTGAGAAACTTTTGGGTTGTGCTACGTACTAGTTAAGAAGCAGATGGGAAGGTAGGAGCTGGAGGTGACTGGTCAGTCTTACAGAAATGTAATATTGGAACTGAGTTTAATTTGTTTTATTTTTTCCATAGGCAAGCAAATGTCCACCTGGGACCACCATGTTCAAGGGACATCAAGAGGAAGCGAAAGCCAGCTGCAGCCTCCACGTCTAGCCCAACATCAGGTAACCTGCCAGTGTTTTTGTAGTCATGCCCCTTTGAGCAAAGCACCATAGGCAAAGGTAGCATTACTTTGGTTGAAGCTAATGTAACGTGTGAGAGGGCATATCGTGGTTTTGCATAGCACCAAAAGCTGCCTACTAAACAATTTTTTGGCAATGTAGCAATGTTGAGTTAATATAATTTGCAGTGCTTCGCCTTACTGTGAATAGTAATTTGCTTCTTCATAAGGTGTTATTTCCACTGTCCCAAATGATGCAGTTCTCATGATAGGCAGTTGATCAGTATGCACAGAGTGTTCCTTCAGTATGGGGCTGGCATTAGCTGGTGGCTCTGATGCCCTTTATCAGGGTTTTTGTAGACACTTTCACAGGAGCAAAAATCTGGCAATTTTTGTGACATCATTGGGTGAAACTACTTACTCCTTGTGGGTTGTGTTATTCTTTTGGATGAAAATAGTTTTTTCTTGTTATGGGGATGTAGTCATTAAAATGCTGGTCTATTTTCATGTGGCAGATTTCTGAAAAGTCATTGATTAGTCATCAGAATATGAAAAAGCTTCAATCTGATGAACACAGTGGGTTTTAGGATGTTTCTTTCTGTCCTTTCACCTTACCCTATCTTGAAACTATCCAATGATACATGTTCTTCCAACTAGTTTATTAATAACTCTTCTTGTAATCCAATAACAAGGTAGTGGGTAAGATGATGGAAAAAATAGAGATGTAAAAACAGTGGGGAAGACCAAATAAACTGATGATTAATAGGAGGAAGTTTGTGTTTCTTCCTTGGGCTGGTGGATAGACAGAATAATGAAGTAGGGAAGAAAGCTGAGCTTTCTCTCCAGGCCACTGATCTGGATTGCAAACTGTTGCAAAGGTTCTGTGCTAAAAAAAAAGAAGAGAAAAGAACATTAATTATCTGTTGTTCAGCAAAAGTTTCATCTATTACTGATTATTTATTTAGGTTATTCTTTCCTGGCTTTTGGGTATTCCATTTTGAGATATTTGAACTTCTGTAGTAAAAGGGATAGTATCTGAAACCACAGAATCTTAGCACTGGAATACCAGATTTTCTTGGTATGAGTGCTGATGTCTCACTGTCCCCTGTTACCTGTCCATTTATCCATTATGCAGAATGCATTATGTATAGCATTGCTGGTCACTTTCTGTAAGGAGAGCTTCTGTTTCCATGCCTACATGTTTCAAAGTACTATTTAAGTTATACTTACCTGATGAGGCAAATTTTATAGTGAACCCTTTTTGAAGAGTTGAGAGTGCATCTGAAGTGGAACTTAGCTCTGGAAATAGAACAAGGGTTTGGGAAGCTTTCTTACTATGGATGAGGGAGAGAGGATTGTTATGTATTACAAAATAAGGAAGAAGTGTAGTTTACAGTAGAGTGTGGGCAGCATGCTTACACTGATCATCAAGAGACAAAGTCTGCAGAGTCTTTAAGGGCCAGCAATGGTAAAGATCTCTTCCTGAGATCCTGTTTAGAAATATCCTCAGCCAAGTGAACAGCTGTGGGCAGGGTTTGCTGCAATACTGACTTGTGGAAAGAAACTTTTATGACTGGATAACAGAAGTTGTATCCTAAGTGATGTTCTACTGCAGAGTCCCAATTACAGCTGAAGCACAACCTGGACACATAAGTTGGAAACTTCTGGAATCTGATGTTATTTCTGTCAAAGGAGATTTTGTTATGCAATTACTAATGCCTAAAAAGATACATAGTATTATTCTGCAATAATGTAGAATTAATTGGACACTCTTACGTTTGTTGGATATTGATGAGATAAAGATTTTTCTCCCTTGCCATGCATCTACTCACCCCCATATAAATGCCATATAGTGGGGTTCACATGTGCCTGAGGAGTCATGGCAGTCTCATTTTTTTCACTTCTGAGGCTTTTTATGTTTGTGGTATTTTCCTTCTGCAAAAGGTGAAGCACAGGTAAATCAGAATACAGGCCTGTGCCTGTCATGCAGACACAGAGTGCTGGATTTCTTCACCTTTAAATAGCTCCTTCACTGAGTCCAACTGCTCTCGTCTCACTTGTTGACCAGGTCCTGCTTCAGTGATCTCCTTTTTTGCAACCTGAGTGCCCCGTGGAGGTGAAGGACACAGCCTGAGCTGGCTTCATCAGTCAGCAGAACAAATGGGCTTGCTCTGCCGAACATCGGGCCATCTCGGATTCCACCTCTTTTATAGAGATGAGTGATGAAGAGGGGCTCGTTCCGCTTTGCCGCTGTATTAATACACATCAGGGGCCAGCTCCCGGCACTAAATCACGCTACTGCATACATCTGTTATCGGACTCCTCACCAGTGTGATGAACAAGACTGCAGATAGAGGCTTCCTCGTGTCATTCTTTATAGGATTTTCCTAAAAGAATAAATAGCTCAAATCTCTGCCAACACTATCCCCTGTCATTGTGATGAATTTAGCTTCTTTCTTAAACATGCAGCTACAAATCTTCCCCTGTCGCCTCACTCCCCCCACCATCCACAGAAAGTTTTGAGTTGAATTTGGCTGAAATCAGAAGATGCTAATAAAAGGCAGATGAGATGTGGGTGCTATTTCCCTCCTCAGTGTAGGAATGAGAAAAAGCAGCTAGAGATAATATTTATTTGGGAACCAAGGAACTAAATTTATTCCATGTCTTCTCACATACTTTCGTGACTGTGAGTATTTGTGAGTTCTGGTAAAGTATCTTTTCCTAGAGACCCTTGCATGAACATCAAAAAACTGCATTACTGTAGAAGTGCCTTGGGTCTCTATTGTATTGCTGTAGTATTAAAGTTCTGGTATTAATCCTGCTCTTTGAGGCTAACTGGCCTAAATACCATAATTGAGCTGTTGAGAACAACACAAAGTGGGTAGAAAATTCAGAATTAATTTGCACTTCAGGAAATTACTTTTGTCAAAATTAAGTTGGGCAAACTTATGCAAATATTCAGAGAGAGTGAAAATTAATGTTTTCCACACTACACATTTGAACAGTGTGAGCCCTAAAGCATGAGGCCTTTACCTGATAAGAACAAAAATCTGGCTGGGGTAGTTTGGCCATAGAATAAGAAAATCTGGAGGAAGTTAAGGCTGACTGTACTGGATTAGATCAGAGATTCATCCAACTCAGTGACCAACAGCCAGTGCCTAGGGAGGAAGAAGGTCCATGGTGGTAAAGGTCCTTTGACCTTTCAGTGATCTGAGACTTAGAAGGCATGGATAGTGTCCTTGTGTTTAGTTACTTTTCGTTGCAGTACAGTAGATTTGGAATAATATCCTCAGTGGCACAGTAGAGCTTGTCTAAAACATACTGCATAAAATGTTATTCTCTTGGAAGTTATTCTCTGGTTTGAAATGACTGTCATGTCTGGCTTAATTTGTCAGAATAGGCCACGAGTACAGATGGTTGTGTCATAAATGGTGAACAACTACCAGTCTTTACACTGATGTTTTTAATGTTTGTGTGGTTTAATACTCTATGTATGTAGCAGTGCACACAGTAACTGGCGTCCTAATCAGCTATTACTGTGAGTCCAGGGTAAAAATCTGCATAAATAGATTTTTGTCTGCCTTGGCATGTATTCACACTTAGATTGTAAAAAAGTTGATAGTTAGCAGCCTGTGAAACTGCTTATCAGAGAACAGTCTGATGAGTAATAGCAATTTGGTGAATTTTCCCTCTTCTATTTCTTGCTAATTATTCACTCTTTGCCATGCCCAGAAACAAGAAGCCAGTTTCAGTCCTTTTCTTTTTCTCTTTTTATGGAGAAAGATGGAGAGCCTGAGTGTGGAGGCTGCTAGCAAGGAGTGCATAATGTAGCATTGGTGGTGATTGTGAGTTTAAGGACTGACTTAGTTGTTGGGGTTTTTTTCATGTTTCATATGACCTTCAGAGAGAGGAAGATGATGGGCTGGATGGAAAATTGCAAGGTACTTTTGTCAGCTGTGTTGTAGCTGTATGGGAATGACTCACCGTTTTGGATTTACAAAATCAGCCTTGTTTGGGTTCCAGATCTACTGAATGTGGAACCTCAAGCATTGAACTGACTTTTTAAACTTCAAAGCAATCTGTCCTCTAGTTGAGGCTTGCTGTGGCCTCTTTATCCTTCATCCACTACAGAGCAGCAGATGCAACTTGTAATTAAAACACACAAACAACTATTATCTGTTGTGAGACTACAATGAAGAGATGTATTTTGTATTGAAGTAGTTACTTGTTTAAAAAATTCTGTTTGTCCCAAAGACTCCTGTGGTAATTACTCTTTTTTACCTGGCTCTGTTCTGCTTGTGAGGATTGAGTGATTCAGGATACTGAGAATTGGAGTAAACTCTCATATCTCTAGGTTTTTGGCAATCCTTCTGGAAATTTGGGCAACTGTTGGGTTTAGCTATGGATCTGCAAATCTCTCTGGCTATTATAGCCTGCCCCATTTTGAAGCAGTGGTTGTACTGAGAAAATGAGAATGGATTTCAACCTAGTTTGGCAAGTAGTTTCTTGTCATAATATCCTGATTTACCATTTTGGATGTATGTGGAGGTTCATGGTACTGCCCTTACTGGGTGAAGAGAGGTGTGTTTTCCTCTTTAGAGGAGCTTAGCAACCTGAAATTTGCCACATCTTCAGAGACTTTGAAAGTCTCAAGTAGAGAGTTAATTGAGTCTTTGCAAGGAGTCCAAGTTATTTTAAGATGAATGATTGTGAATTGATTCACTTTAAATATGGGACAGATAAAACCTTTGATTTTCAACAGGAACTCTGACTAAGGGAACTAGTTAGTGGACTGTGAACTTAGAGTTTTGGATGTATGAATCATTAGAGCAAAATTGTTAATGCTATCAAGAACCTCTGTTTCAGAGGAATTTGGATGAAGAACTTTTAGAAATTCAATAAATAATATTCTCATAAATGAAATTTTATGTATATGAGGGGTTTGCCATGAAGTTAGTTGTTCTAACTTTTTTATTTTCCTTTCTTATTGTTCCCCCTTTCCTGCAATTTTATATTCCAGCAACTTTATCTGTCCACATGGATGCAGCAGAATCAGAGCTACCAGCAACACCATCCTTGAGATCCCAGAACTCTGAGTGGACGGGGAAAATACCAGCAGCTGAGAAATCTGCTACTCCTGCCTCCAGTAACTTTTTTAAAATGCCACCAGAGAAGAGCCCTGGATACAGCTGAAAGGAAGCATTGCAACTGTAAAGCATTGCTCGATTTTGGAAGTGTTTGGTTCTGGTGTTTGTCTGCACCAAACATCTTGTTTGGCAGTAGTGGTATCTTCAGTATTGGTGTGTGATATGTGCCATCATCCAGGCTGGTCTGTGTGCCTCACACACCTAAATCATGTTTGTGAATCTATGCTTAAGAAAAGGTAATCAGTGTTGGGACTGCAGTGGCTTTTAGAAATTTTCCTGCTATCACTGTATTTATTATGAATTCATCTCTTTCCCTGATTCCAGCTCATATGTAATGGGTCATGTACAGGTTCTTTTGGGTTTTCAGATCTTTATTCACTCCCGGACATGTTGCTTGTTTGTGTATTTGGCATTTTCAGGGTGAAAGTCCCACTGCCATTCAGGGAGGCAGGAATCTCCATCTGCTTGCTTCCAGACCAGAAGGATTTCTTGGCTGGGGAATGAGGAGGGAAACATGGAATCTGAATCCTGTATTAGCAGAATGTTTTCTGGCCATGTGCTAACAGACTGAAATCATGTTGCTTCTGGCAAAGCAAATATGGTGCTTGTCTATGTAGAAAGTGCCATTAGCTCACTGGCAGCATTATCCATTTGACTTTTTCCTTCTCCCTTGTTCTGAATGTCTTCAGTCTTTATTGTGTATTGCATGCTCATTCCTAAACCTCCTGCTGGATAAGGATTTGGGAGAACTGCTTGGACGCAAATGTGCAAGTTGGTGTCCTGGATAGAAATCTGGAGCCTTGAATATTGTTGCAGTATGGTAGAAGAATATACAAAACATCTGTATCTCAGTGTATAAATTTAAAAATATCTGTTAGTGTTTCTAAAGGATGCTTGTTGAAGTTAACATGCCACTGAACAAAAAAGCTATTTAAAGTGTCACCTGAGTTCAGAGCGTTACAGGTATAGATCAGACTCCTTCTCTATCATGCTTCCTCTTCCTTCAAAAGTATTGTCTGCTATGCCTACTGGAGGTGTCTCCAGCTGCTGATGATTGCACATTACACTGCAGTGTACACTAAAGAGATTCTCTTCATGGAACTTCCACTTGGTCTGCTGTTACCTTCTGTGTTGCAGAATATATGGACAGGGATTTCTTTCCTCTCTGTAATAACTCTGGAGCTTATCTTGGACTGTGTTTTCAGAATATATACCTGTATAGCATGTACCAAGGAACAGGTGGCCTCACAGCTTCTTAAGTTCTTTAAGTCCTATTTCTATGAATAGAACTTTTTGCTTTCCTCATGTGGAGCTTTCAGACAGTACTGTTTAAACTTGTAAAGTCTGTTTTGATTGTGGCAGTGCATCTAGCACTCTTAAGCAGATGGCAAAATTTGTGTGATTTTATTGATTTTGCAGTGTTCTGTTCTCTTATGAATCAAGTGGCTGAGGGACAGATTTGATTGGGGAAATATGAAGCAGTGATTTATTTTAGCTGTGTATTAAAATGGGAAATGGTCATAATATACAGAAAACAAATTGAATGACTTGCTAAATCATGATTGACAGATATAGTTAGTTATGTTACATGCACACTATGTCTGATCCCCTAATACCTACTTATTCTTGGGGAGACATCCAAATTGGATTTATATTTTGCAGTACAAGCAAACTGTCAGATCTGTCTCTGTAAATCCTTCTCAAAACTTTTTTTCTTTTTTTTTTATTTGGGGTAGTACATTTTAGAAGTAATTAGAACGGGGAAACCCTTTTTACCTTAATGAAGGAATAGAGAAGTCAGTTTGGATTACAGGACAAGCTGTAACAGTTTATAAAGGAAGTAGTGTTCCTGTTTTAAAGTTGTCATGGATTTGTCTTATTTGTAGCTGTTTTGAACAATGATGCCTAAGGAGTAACACGGGAAGTTTCAGCACTGGAGGGCCTGTAATCTAAAACATCTGAAGAGAAGGTAAATCTGAAGAGTAGTAGCTTGGCTGTCTAGTACTCATGAATACAGTGAATGGGAAAGGTGATAATGTTCTTCTGACAACTTGCAGATAAAATTTGGGATTTGAAGCCTTGTAATCTAAACTGCATGCTGTTGTAATGATAATGAGTGGTTCCCTAAAAGAGCATTTGTGAAATTGACTGGTTTTGATCTCATGGAGTATCCTCCACAGCCTCTCATGGTTTGAGTCTGTTCAACAGATTTACTCAGATTACTGCCCATTCAGCTTTATGCAATAAATACAATTTATTTTATTTATATACAATTTTAGCCATTGTGTTCCCTTTTAAAAATCAATTGTGATATATCTTGCTACATTCTGCGTATTCTTGAGTATTGTCCAAATAGTTTTTTCTCCTCTGTTATGTCAGGATGCTTTAAAAGCTTTTTCAAGAAAGGTGTTAGGGAATCAAGAGCCTTCATGTCATTGTGGTGGTGGAGGGGTGTGTTGCAATGCTTTATGTGATTTTTCTCTGGGTGCAGGGAAAGAGAATTTATCATATTTTCCTATTGAGGTCAGTAGTAGTGTTATCTGGTTAAGCCCTTACTTAGGTTGTAAGCTCCTAGGAGATATTTCTTGCCTTTAAAGGCAGATTGTACCTGTGGCAGTACTGAAGAGCAGCTGTGGCAGTGTCTTGACAATCCGCACTTCCTGCCATGGCAACTTTCTGGAAGTTCCAGGGGATTCCAATTATTGCAGCTGCCCTGTCTTTTCTATTTCTAGGTTAGAGTCCATTTACAAATCAGTCAGATTCTCAATCAAATTTGATTCTCCTGAGTGGTTGGCAACCTAAATGGATCATGTATCTTGTTGCTCTAGGGTATTTATCAAAATATATCTTCAGACTTCAGTAACTTGATACAGATTGTAGTATCTAGAACATTCTTAGATGAATAAAATAAGTCCATTGTTTTGCCTCTTTTTTTCATCTAAGGCAGATTTCTTAGAACTCACTCTGCTCACACAGTACTCAGTGTGAAGGATACTGCTTCCCATGTGGATTACTTGAGTAGAAAGGAGTAATAACATGCCTTGACTTAGTAGCTATGCTACTGTGAAGATGGTCCAGTGTGTGATTATTGCTTCAGAGATACTCAGCTCACTCGTATTCCACTTTTTGTCCACCAGGACTACCCAGTCTTTTTTCAGTTTGTCTTTCTCCTTGTCCTTATGGGACACTTCAACTTCACAGACAGGACCTGGGAATACCATACTACTGTGACAGGCAAGTATGGGAAATTCCTGAAGTATGTTGAAGATAATTTGTAGTCACAAGTACTCAACCAACTAGGAAAGATCCCCTCCTAAACCTGTTATTTATTAATAAAGAAGGACTTTTGAGAGATATGATGGTAGGTGGCTGCTTTTGCCACAGGATCATGAAATAGGTTATTTTAAAATTTTTGATGTAATGAGGAAAACAGTCAGCAAGGTTCCTACCTTGGAATTCAATAGAGATAACTTTAGGCGACTCAGTGAGCTAGTTACTAGTGTGCTGTTCCTTGAGTCTGGTCAGTTTTTAGGAATCACCTTTTAAAAGCACAAGAGCAGGTGATGTCTCTGTGTTGAAAGTCAAACAAGCCATGCAGAAGACCAGCTTAACAGGGAACTCCTCTTGAATCTCAGGAAGAGAAAGAGATTCTATGATCTCTGGAAGCAAGGTCAAGCTTCCAGAAAAATTACAGAGCTGTAGTTCACATATACAGGGAGAAGATATGAAAGACCAAAACTTAATTAGAGTTGAAACTAGCCAGAACTGTTGTGTCAGGCAAGCAAGGCTTTTTGAAGTACTTAAATAGCAAGAGGAAGTCTAAGGAAAACATTGATATTTGTTATAGATGATCACCTGACAAATTGGAGTGAAGAAAAAGTGGGGGCATTCAGTATTTTTTTTTGCCTTGGTCTCATAATACTGATGGCAGACCTTGGGCTGCTCTGTCTTCTGATTTGGAGGACTGTTACTGTGGGAATAGTGACTTTGTTTGTGTACACGGAGATTGTAAGGGACCAGTTGAATGTTTGTAAGTCTATGAAGCCAGGTGGGATTCATCCCAGAGTACTGAGGGAGCTAGTGGTTGTTGTAGCATGCCCTCTCCCAGTCCCTACCAAAGGTTTTGGGAGTCTGGGAAAGGTCTATGCTGACTAAAATCCACTCAGCATTATTCTAGTTTACAAGAAGGGCATGAAGCGAGACCCAAGAAACACCGACCTGCTACTCTAGCCCAGTACCTGGAAAAAGTGTAGAGGAGATCATACTGGGTGCTAGTGAAAGGCATTTAAAGTCCTTTCAATCATAGAATCATAGAATATCCTGAGTGGGAAGGGACCCAAAGGGATCATCAAGTCCAACCAAGCAGGTCCAGTGGGTGATGTGGTGGTTGGTGGCTGTCTTGGGCATAGTGACTGTGAAATGTTAAAGTTTTCAGTACTGGGTGAAATAAGGAAGGACACCAGCAGAACTTCTACCATGGACTTCCGGTGGGCAGGCTTTGGCCTGTTCAGGAGATTGACAGAATCCCTTGGGAACCAGTCCCGAAGGGCAAAGGAATCTAAGAAGGCTGGATGTGGTTTAAAAAGGAATTCCTAAATATGTTCAGGAGCAGCTCCATCTTCTTAGTCCTTCTTTGGATGCCCTCTAATAGCTTTATAGCTTTCCTATATTGTGGCACCCCAAACTGCACACCGGACTTGAGGTGAGATTGCACCAGTGCAGAGAAGAGTGGGACAATCCCCTCACTCAATTAGATCATGGTGTAATTTTAAAACAGAGCAAGTAATAAATGGCAAGTTGGTGAAAGAGCTGGAAGGCATATCCTGTGGGAAGTGGTGAATTTGGTTTTGTCTTGTTTGAGAGAAGGTGACTGCTCTCTACAGTTTCCTGAGGGAGGGAAGTGGAGAGAGCGGTCTCTGCTCCCTGGTATCCAGTCACAGGGCACATGGGAATGGTTCAGAGCTGTGCCAAGGGAGATTCAGACTAGACATTAGGAAACACTTTTATAGAGGGAGGGTGGTCAAACACTGGAGCAGGCTTCTGAGAGAGATGGTTGATGGCCCAAGCCTGTTGGGGTTTAAGAGACATTTGGACAATGCCCTTACTTTAATTTATGTTCAGTCCTGAAATGGTCAGTCAGTTGCACTCATTACTAATTTTAGGTCCCTTCCAATTGAACTACTCTATTTTAATTGTTAACTTCATGATGTTTCTGTCTTTTCATTCTCCAATCTGTCCAAGTCCCTTTTGGTGGTATCCCCACCCTGCAGCATATCAGTGGCTCCCTTCCTCAACATGCCATTATTTCTGATCTTGTTGAGAGTATGTTCTGTCTTTTTCCACCGGGTCACTAATGATCTCTGAAAACTATCAATGCCTGTATTTCCTTCCAAGGCATGCTTTTCATAAGTAGCCATCATGCAGATTTCAAACCATTGATGGCTTAACCTCGACAGCTTTTCTCTGATCTTTCTTACTGGGTGCTGTCCAGTCCATAGCTCCCCATGTGGCTGTAAGGGTGCTGTGAGAGACTGCATCAAAGGGCTTACTGAAGTCAATGGAGACATCATTCGCTGCCCTCTGTGCATCCTCAGAGCCTATCATTCCATCATAGAAGACAGGTTCATAGGCTTGATTTTCCATCATTTAGTCCTAGTCACCTCTTTGTCCTTTGGGTGCCTAGAAATGGCTTCCTAAGGTTGGTTCATGAAGCTGCAGGGGACTGAGGTAGGGCTGACTAGCCTGTCACTCCACCAGTACTCTTTCCTGTATTTTTAGAAAGGTGATGTATAGATACATACCCCTTCTTGTCTCCGGGGACCTCATGCAATTGCAACAGTTTTTCATCGATGGCAGTGACCAATCTCAAAATGACATACTTCTGTGTATAGGGAGAAGATGGACACTCAGTGAAAGAGAAATCAAAAGCTGAGAGAAGCATGTTTTCTAGTTGTTCTTTGCATGTTGCCAGTAGTTCCAGTGAGCTCTAGTCAGGATTAATGCCCAGTTTGGTAAGTACTGGAGAAGACTGAAGTAAAAGAATGTAGTTTCTGTCGTGATGGATTTATGATTTTAAGGTACAGTAACAAGTGGAGAAAGCAGCAAAACAGGAGCTGGAGAGAAACTTGTTAGAGGCTGGGACTAGTGCTACTGAATGATAGATTAGCTTTGTGATTGTGGTATGCAGAGGTGTGTCTTGCCAGCATAATTCTTGAATAATGACATTGAGTAGGTTAGTGCTGTCCTTCAAACTGCAGATGCTCTTGCTGTTATTTTTTGGATGTTGTGGAGACCTGCTTAGTGGGCAGAGGATGAGAAGGGAAATTGTAGGAAGGGCAACAAGAAGCATGATGGAGTGTCTCTTTTACTGTAACCCCTTCTGTTCTGAAGAAGGAAGATGCTACAAAAAATAGTATGTGTGCCTAGATATTGAAAAGAAATTTTGTGAATTGGATAACAACTTTGCTTTTTTGTCTTGAGGAACACTTTGTCACCAGAGAATTCTTCAGTAAAGCAAAAGTGAAGGATGCTACATTTGTTCAGAAAATGTATTTTAATGGTCTGTTAGGAGACTATCAAAGAAAGATGAACTTTTGTTCTCATTGTGATACTTCATTTCTGTGTTTTTGTTTCCTGTATTCTGTTCTAGTTTGTGTTTTGTGATTGCGACATCTTTTTGTACCATCAAATGCAGGAAAAATACAGTGATGCTTCTTAAAGCACGAAGCTTAAGGGGACACTTGCTATACAGGAGGTAAAACAAAATAATCCTAGGCTATTAACTTTACCCAGTACAAGGCTTGAACTCGGCACAGAGGACATAATGGCTTCATCATACCAAAGCATCTCTTTTTTAAGAGAGTGAATAGTGCCACAGGTAAGTGCAGGGAGACTAAACTGGCAGCAGAGCCTGGAGACCCACATGTGGTTGGGCCTCAGTCACATCACATCTAATACAGATTTACATTGTAGAGACAGAAGGAACTTTCAACATCGTTCTCAATTTTACTGTGGTGAGAATGCCTTCCCGTGCAAACACGGCTGTCACTGTGAGTCCAGTGGGCTGAAAAGATGTGCTCACTGGCATACTATGTAAAGAGAATTCTTGTACCAGCTTAAAGAATTGGTAAAACTGGAAAATGGAGTGGTACAGCCTGTTGTATCAGAGAAAGATGCAAAATATATATATATATATATATACTTGCAGTATTCAAGAAAAGTATTGTTGAGCCCTGTGAGTTATCAGCTAGAGTATTCAATGTCCTAAAGCAGAGATGCCAGTATGATGAGGATGTCCAGGGTTTTACAAAGCTGCCCTCTTGTCCTTGTAAACTCTGAAGGAAATGGGATGAACAGCATGAAAAATGCTGTGTCAGACCAAAGGTCTACTTGTCTTGGTAGTCTGTCTCTCACAGTGACCTGGTTTGCCTACCTGGGGGTTACTGTAAAGATAAAGCAATAATATAGTGATACTTTTTTAAAGTGTTCTCTTAGCCCAGTGTCCCGCCTCAAAAAGATGTACAAACTTTCTTTGAGGCTGGAAAAAACATTTTTAAACTTTTGGTTATAGCATTTATCCTGCAATGGGATTTAAATATATTTTTACAAGGACACATCCTGATGATGAAAACGTCAAGTAAGGATTAGCATATCTTTGTTTGTAATCAGTTTTCTTATTAATTACTGTCTTTATAAGTAAATAGTGTCTTCTCTTGGAGTATTCTTTTTCCTAATATCAACATCCTGACATTGTGTCTTACCATGCTTTTTTTTCAGCAAGGTTGAAAAGTCTTGTTCTTTCTTTACAATGAGGCTTTTTTGACATATATTTTTTATGTCCAGTCAACAAGTCCTATGTAATCCATTAACCCATATATATAATTTTTCATAAGCTTCATACTGTAAAACTTGTCATTTAACATTTAATTGTGCTCCTGCATGAAAATCCCCAGTATTCCACATCCATATGCATTCAATTCTAGTGTCTATACCTAAAGTATTCTTCAGAGTAACTGTTAAGAGTCACTTATGATACTCCTCACAGAGTGTTCTAATACTGCTATTCAGGCTTCATGGACTCATATAGCCAAATGTGCTGCTAGTGTTTGCTGCCCAAATGCTGCTGTAACACTGCTGTAGGAGGTGGCATTCAGGCAGCTGAACCTAAAGTTCTTACCACTGCTTTTCAATGTACAAGGTCCTAGAAAGTAAGAATTATTTTTTTAATTCAAAAATGTATTGCATTTCCTTTAGCAGTATTATAGTGCAATTTTGTTCCAATCATATTTGTAGTTTGCAATACTTAAGAGTTCAGTCTTATCAGAAGAAGATCAGAGGTGTCACGCCTGTATGGTAGAAAACCCTCTATGACTTTGGAAATTCTAAGTAATAAAGCATCTTTTGTCTTGTAAATGGGCATATAAATGAACTTCCACCTAAAGACTAGGCTGTCTAGATTGGTGCATGTTAGATGTCATTGCTGGAGGCATTTCTAAGAGGGCTGGTCTGGCCTGACCAGAGTCCTTGGGCACTTCTGAAGTCCTTGAATTTTCTCTCAGGTTTTGACAACACCAGATAGTGAGCCAAAGCTACCATCAGTTGCATTTTAGCTTCCTCCTGCTGTCAAACAGGAGATAGTTCACAAAAAGGTCTACTCAAAGTCTGTGAAGAGCTGCCTTGTGCATGTCCCAAATATTTTATAAGGTCATAAGATTTAGCTGTTTGATAGGGGTTGGACTCTGGATTCTTGGGACTCTGTTTTAAGGGTAACATGTAAATAAGAAAGATTCCTGCTTGTATTCTTCTGTTTTAAATAAGATGTGTATTCTCTGAATGAGGCTCTTGCAGAATCTCTGTTCTGATTATAGAAACTGGAAATAAATCAATATATGAAAGAAGTGTTTTATCTGATATAAAGCGAACTGAGTTGAGAGTGGGGGAAGAGAGGTTTTGCTGACATCTGACTAGATTTACAGTATTGGGCTCTCCATTAATCTGCATGCTTCCTTGACCGTTTCCGTAAGTATAAAGTATAAACTGTAATCTGAAGGTCTGTAGGGAGTTACTATGCTTTTCTTGCTTTGAATTGCAAACCCGAGTGAAGGATTTGAGGTAATTTATCATGTCCGTTCTTTGGAGGTTTTTTGGTAATGATTTTGTTTCCCAGTTTGTCAGGACATTGTCTCTAAACAAGTGAGATGCTCCCTGTTTTGAATTTGAAACAATTTCAGCGTTTCTTAAATAGCCTTTCATTTCTAAGCCACTGCTTCAGATCTGCCTAGTCCCAAATGGGATGTCATTTAAATGAGTAGGTCAGTTTCAATTGATAGTTTAATGGATATCAATTCATTTTGCCAGCACTAACATTCTTTTAAGATAGGTTGGCATCATTCTTTTTTACCATGATAACAGTGACTTCAAAGATCAAATGAACAGAGGACTTCTAATTTTCTTTTGGCTATGCTTGTGTCCCAGTATGCTATGCATGTTTGTGGTAGGAGCAACACAGGAATCCCTTTACCTTAATTGTTCCAATGAATAAACTGTAAAAATTAGAATGCAAGTGGACTAAATGTTTTTAAACAAAATGATCAAGATCCTTTGGAAATGGCTTCAAGTTTTTAACACCATTTTGGGAGTAGAGGGTTGTCCAATTTTTAAAAGTGATTATTTTCCTCTCTCATCTACAAGTTGCACCTGTGAGAATTGTGAAATGTTCCCTGGGAAATATGCTGACTTTATAAGTAGTTGGAACAAGGAGCAATAGATTGTCTTATGGGAAGGACTCAGATTTGGCAAACTACTGGTAATGTCAGAAATTTCAGATATGTAAAAATTAGCTGTTTCAGTCTTACACCTACTTGCAATTTTGTAATTTTAAAATTTTGAGTAATGAAGCATTTAATCTGATAATTGGATTAATTTCTATTTAAAAAGGAAAAGCTGAATGGTGCTTTTTAACATGTCCTTAATTTTACATCCCAGGGCTGAGAATTTTCTCAGTTCAGTTTGAATATCTGGTGGTAAGTTTAATAACAGGGCTGACTATGATGGCATTTATAAATTTTGATATTTTTCAAACCAGGAAACCTGTCTTTGTGCTTTTCCAGCTTGTAAAAATCAACTGAAACTACAGATGAATGCAAGTAGACTTGCTGTGTATTAATGGAGAACTTCTCACCTATAAATAAAAGGGTATTTCAGATCTGGGGTACAAATTTTGTTCTCTGGTGGTATGGAGCAATTTCACAGTAAGAACAACAGATACGTAGTTTTTAAATGAAATATAGTATAGGGTTTCAAAGTGGTAAACTACATTAATTCATTTTTGGTGGGGGGTAACAAGGAGGTGTCTAAATATGGGAACGTGAGCAGATTTTAGGAGTTGCTGCAATAGGGCAGATGTAGCACACAAAGTTTTCAAAACACCCTTTAAAAACTGGCCTGGAGATTGGAGAATTGTAGCTAAAGATTGGAGAAATCTTCCTCTGAGAAGTGTCATCACTCACAGACTGCCTGCAGGTGCAGTGATGGCAGACCAGTGGTTCTGATAAACTAATGCCAGCACTGACACTGATGTTTCCCTTATAATTTTGGCACCAGCTTCCTGAGAGGTTCACCAGTGTTGCCCTAGGGCTCTTCTTCATCCTGCTTCACAAAATAATTTGCAAATGCCTGGACTCATCTAGCTCTCCTCCGTGGGGAAACACATGTTCCCATTTTGAGCCAGACACTCCTACTGCTGAATGTTGTATGGTGAGTGAAAGAAGTCCTGTGTTTTCTTTCTTGGTCGTCCAGTGAACAGCAAGGGGAGCTTTCATGAATCTTTTATCTCTGGCTGGTCCTTTCAGATACTGTGGAGACAGGAAGGAGGGAATTAGACATGTGGGGTTTGAATCCTGGGTGGGGAGAGTGGTGCAGTACCATGAGGTGTGGCTGTTCTGCTCTCAAACAGTGCAGGAGCTGCCTGGGGAAGGTGACATTTCACCCTTCTCCCCACATTGATAGGCTGCACGACTCTAAACCATGGGCTTCATCTGCTTACATATGTATTTAGACATTTAAACAAGAATCTTCTTCAGCAACCCCACACACCCCTCAAGTAGCAAATAAACAGGAGAATTTGTGCTCTGATGACAAAGCTGCAATTTGAGTGGCCCATGTTGCTGTAATCAGTGCCCATCTGCATGTGCAGTGCAATGCAATCAGGCACTTTCCTGATTTGTTGTTGGGTTTGAGGGTTGTGTGTCTCAGTCTGTCCATCTGGCCCCTTCACACGAGGTTCCTGCCTTGGTACAGGACAGTTGAGAGTCTCTGAATGTACAGCTGCTGGCTTGGATTTTTTTCTCTCCCCCTTACTTCAAGGCTGACTTCAAGATTTATTTACTGCACAGCATCCAGACCCCACTCTGAAGAGGAAAGATACTTTTCAGTATCTTCAGGGTACCTCCTGCTATGATAGCTTAGAATGTTAATGAATTTCTGTGCTGAGCATTTGGATGTTACAGTCACCCTTACTGCCTGAGTGAAGAATTTGAGACTGAAGCAAAACCCTTTTTCTTTTTTTTTAATTGAAGGGCCTAGGATGAGATTCACAGACACTGCCAGTTCACAGGGACTGACTTTGTACCCTTTTGTAAGTTCAAATCACATTTCCTGCAAACTTCCTTAGCAGCTATAAGTGGTCAGAGCTTCTGCACATCCAGCCACAATTACTGATGAGGTGAGGAGCACTGTCCTTATTGCTGAAGTCTTTCCATGGCTTCTCAGCTAAGAGAGAGATGGCAGCAGGCAGGCATCTCTCCAGGACTGTTGGTCAGTTGCTTTCATCATAAGAACCTGGACAGTGTCCTGCTTTGTCATTTCTGTCATTGAGTCTGACTCATTTGTGCTCATCTCCTTCAGTTCTTGTCCTTCACCTCTCTGGAGGCATGCCTTCTATGCTCTGGATACAGTTAGAATCTCAAAAATAAACTGTAATCATTTGATTTAGCATAATTGTAAAGTGTATGGACCAAGGGACAACTTAGGATGGCAGAAAAGGGATTTCTTCCTTTTTGAGTATTCTTATCTGTAACCAGATATATGTATATCTGTGTGTGTATATATTATTTATTTTAGAGCTAGGACTTGGTATGTATTCACTTTGTATTGGAGTTTCCTTATAAAGCTATTTTAATTTCCCCAAATATGTTTTGTCTTTGGAAATACTATGATTCCTGGACTTCAAAGGAATTGAAAGAGCAGCCCCAAATTCAAAGTATCATAGAGAATCTGCTGCAAAATAACTTGTCTACTGCATCTCAAGAAAGAGCAATAGGTGGGTGAAAACTTGCTGTGGAACAATCACATTTTATATATTTTTACCTGAACATCAGAGGAAGACATACATTTTGACTCATATCTTGCAGTGATATTTCAAGTATTGTCCTCTTGATTCTTTTCTCTAAACTACGGAGTAATGATTGTCTAGTGAAGTAAACCTGACTGTTGTTTAACAAATTATAGGCTGCCTTCTAATGCCCAATTCAGCAAAGTTATAAAATATCAGAAATCTTAGTGTTTATTTTGCCCTTGGAACCAGAATCAATCATCTGACTGAACTGTATTGGAAAAAAGGAAAAGAGTACAAAGAGAAAATTATACTAACTATTGTCTTTATTATCCTAAGTCTTGTTCTGTTCTCTCCATGGACTCTTGGTTTACATCTTCTAGAAAAATTAGTGCATCTTAAAAAAAACCAAAAACAAAAAGACAAAGACAACCAACCTCCCTCTACAAGCTTTTTTGTGTTCATGTGTTAGGTGTGGGTTGGCAGGCTCTGTTTGCAAGCTGAATACCCATTTTCTCATTTAAAGAGATTCCATTAAGCTGAAAGATGAAAATCAAAATGTTTGAATTTCCATTAATACCATTTTGGGACTGGGCAGATAGCTGCAATTGTGATTTTCTTATCCTTGCAGTAAAGTACTGCAGTCCACATCATTCCTTGCTCACACATTACACCTCACACCTGTGCTAAGTGGGCATTTTCTGAGAAAAGTGCATTGTTTGCTCAACAGAAGCATAAAAGATGACACATGGTAAGTTGCTGTACACCTTATCTTGTCTCTGCTAATCACGGTGGATAAAGTGATGATGGTGCACCACCATATGACTCAGAAACAGCTTTGCTGAAAACCACAAATTTATTTCAGGTAAGTTACATCCCATGTGTATGTATACTGAAATGTAACTGTGTATTTGTCCCTGGGAAGAACCCAAATGCTTGTCACAAATAACTGGCAACTGGAAGCCTCAGAGCTGACCTATTTAGAATATGTCTACTCTCTGTCATTCTGCAAGTACCTCAGGTGTTTAGGATATGGATGAGTACAAACTTCTACTGCTTGTCACTGAACTACTGCTGGTAATTGAAAATTGGAATGCAGTGTTCCCTGGAGAGTTTGTCATGGAGCTCAAGAGGTTAATATGTAGTTATGTGATGATACTATAATTTTATATGCATCTGCAGGTACTGCTAATAGACATTAAAGTGGGCATTTACATCCTTATTATGGGTCAGTACTTGATGTCATAATAAAAAAGTCACATCAGAGAAGTACAGGATAAAAATCTGATTATGCACATTTTGGAATGTAAATGGCTTTAAAATTCAAATTGTCACCTGGTGGGAGGATCAGGAAGGAGTCAGAACAAGGGCAAAGGGGCAAAGCTGTGAGACACAAGGGGCAAGATAAAGGAGGAAGAAGAAATAGGCAGGAGTAGGCCTTTGCTTGGATAGTTTATATCCATATGAATACTATACTCCATTACTTAAGCCCTTTGTGTCATCTCATTAAACATAAGCTTGAGTGAAAGGTGGACTTTGTAATGGGGTGTGAAGGTCAGTAAA